AAAGGTGCGCGTGCGAGCGAGCGGCGAATAAATACTAAATTGCTCTTGCATCACGGCTGATTGACAGACGACGACAACAATATTGTTCGTTGATGAACAACACGCATTAATCGATCTCTGTCAGGTCAACTGAACACCACAGGCGGTCAGCATACATTTCCACTGATGAGTTCGATTTCCGAGGACTTGATCAGCACGTGCATTGATCTATTTGACGAACAAGACGAAGCAGATGCCGACAACGAAACGGAAATCCAATATGAAAGATTTTTTGACAAAATTTCTCTTGTCGTATCACGTTCAGCAGATGATTCTTGATAAGTCACTTTGTCTATTCTATGAATAGAACAGCCTGAAGTAAAAACCGGAAGGTGGAACAGATCTGATTTGATTATTAGCAATAGCATTCAAACTGTTCATTTTATTCATTGATTTATTTAGAGCAGTCGACCGAAAGAATAAGAAACTCCGCCTTTCTTTGCTTTAGAATGTCGAAGACAAAAATGAATGCAATCATACGGAATGTCTTATCATCTGCTGATGCTAATGAAACTTATCAGTCGAAGGGAAAAGTGAGAGCTAATTGAGTTTTGTTGATGATATGGGTATGTGACACGACGCATGAGAGTGACACAGAAAAAGAGAGAGATTGAAAACTGAGTTTGATTTCGAAAGAGGAAATCGACCGGTGACATCAAATGAAAACAGGGACGTTTGATCGGTGCATTGAGAATTTTCTTTTTGTGTCATTTTACTGAATCAACAACACGTTAACTGCGTTTTTTCATTCGTTGTTCGACAAAATGTGTGAAAATACATTAGATAAAATAAGAAGAAAAGGACGAAACGAAAGACATTCTTAGTTCAATATTATTTTGCTCAATCGTGTTGATCGTCTTATGACACCAATGATCCACGACGATGACGACAGCCTGCCTGTCTGTCTGTCTCTATCCATCATGAAGAATAAATGTACATTGACATAGACGTGTGACTACCGGTGTTCGCTCACAAATGAACATAAACACACACACACACACTTAACTGAAAATGCGATTATTTGGAAAGTAAATATAAGAACGTCATGAGTGAAAAGAATCAATAATCAAATGAAACAAGTTTTTCTTTTAACAGAAACATGCGAAAGATGATTTTAGGTCTGGACAGATCAGTTGTATTGGAATTTATTGTAGTGTTTTTCAGCAACATCAATGTATCGAAGAAGATTCAACCAATAATTGTTTCGAGAAAGACTTTTGATTGAATCATATGAATATTACTCGAATCCATGCTGCAAAGACTACCGTATATAGTATAATAACTCAATGATTTGCCCGTAAGTACGTTGCATTGAACAGTTTTCTGTACAATCGTTGTAAGAATTCAATACAAATCTTTCGAAACGACCTCGACGCTATTGTGTACAAGAAGAAGGTGACCTAAATAGTAATAGATACCAATGAATCGTATTATTCTCGCTAGAAACTTTACTCCTGTGTATGTGTAATGAAGATTCAAACCTAACCCATATAAGAATTCATCAAAAGCTTGTCGATCCATTGTTTTTATATGATATTGTGTGACAACGGTATAGATCGTGTTATACGCGAGAAGTGTATTGAAGACGAAATACGCAGTCACTTGAAGAAGTGTAAGTCGGATAAACTGAATGTCTTTCTTTTTGTATCGCCGTCCATGAAATGAGGCAACATTTGTCACCATAGATCGTTCTGCGGGAGTAATTTGTTGTGTTTCAACATGGTGAATGTTGTAAAGCATGAGGAGACTAAATATAATAAGGACTATGAGAGGAACAAGAGATAAAGCGACATTAAAAATAGTAGTGGGTATAAAAAAATCCGATTCGGTTGGTACTGCACATGTTGTATTTCTGATTATGGTGTAAGCAAAAGATGTATGTATGATGATGAAAAGTAAACAGATGATCCCCCCGATAATTAGTCGCCGAGCAACTTTTCGCGAACTTAGTCGTCGAGTGAGTGCATGTCTTGACGTGATTATCCATCGATCAATCGAGATCAGACAAAGAAGATAACGAGCAGTGGTTAAGCCTACCAAAACAAAATAAATTCGAGCCTTACAGAAAGCTAAGGATTTGAGAGAAAGATCATAGTCAGTCCATGCCCAAATGACTCGTGTTGAACATCCCATGTTGAGATACAAAAGGTGTGCAAGTGATAGACTAATGAAATAATAGGAACAAACGTGCGAGCGAAGATTGGCTTGAGAGAATACGAGAATATTTGCTAGGTTTGTTAAGTTACCGATGATGTAGATAGATGTGAGGAGTGATCGAACGATCTGTGTTTGAACATTGGCAAGGTAAACTGACAGAGTGACAGTAGTTGAATTCATATTTGTGTTGATGCTAAGGAAAAACAAGTGTAACTATGTTTACCTACGTAGGGGGCTATAAAATAAGAATATTGTTAAAAGAAAAGAAAACTCATTAAAATAATGACAGGAACAAGGAAATGTTCCATTTGAAATAAAATAAGTTATTAACACATTTATAGGTTGCCTCTGTCTCGTGGCTTAGATTGAAAACAAGTTTTTGATGGAAGATGTGTTGGGTTTCACTCTGGTTAAGAACGTTATTATTTCTTTGACTGGTAATGCCCTTGTAAGACATGGTAAGAATTTAAGCTGTTCAAGATACAAAAATAGAAATTACACCAAAATACGTCGTCTTACGGTATGTCTACGTTATTATACATAGAGAACCTGATCATTGACTTCTTTTTAGGTAACGCACAAAGTGAGGATATGAAATCAGTCAGACAGATCTGGTAGAGGCGGAATATTAAACGGTATTCCCAATTCTACAGCAATAAGAAAACATTAGTTTTATGGCTTTTACATATTATTTGTTTCGTTTCTCGTCGAACTTCGTCATAAATTCCGTGATATATTTTCCCTAAGGTAAGAAATGTCTCTGACATGATAGACAAGGATGACATTTGTACATTCACCATTCGTAATCAATAAAGAAAAAGATAAATACTTTTCGGATTACTTTTTCTTCCACTGATGAGAGAATGAAACGTGATACGCTTCACTTCCATCAATCTATTTTCGTCGTAGAAAATTTATGATTTGCTTCTATAACGGCATTTATATATATATATATATCTGAATGAAGAAATGTGAGTGAACTTCGTTTATCCAGGTGGTAAGTTGTAAGGAATTTCAAACACTTGTTTCGTGATGTGATCGTACCATCGCGATTGATCACGAGAAGTAAAATTGACTCAAAAGTATAATAAGCATAACGAAGTCTATTTATTGAATTTATTTTTTAAAGCAGAAATTTCCGAGAAGATGTAAAAGTTTTACAAAATTCTTTGATCATTTCACTGTCGCTATATGCAGGTTAAAATGTGTTTGACTGGATTTCGCAAAATATCGATACAAATCTTCCGAAACGAGACAGATGCCATCGTGTATAAGAAGAATGTGATCTAAACAAAAGCAAAAGTATCAAATTAACCGGTATGATCTGATTAGGAAGCTTACTCCAGTGTATGTGTAATGGAGATTGAGACCAATTCCATTCAGAAATCCTTCTATCGCTCGTTGATCAGCTGTCTTTATTCGATATTGTGTGGCAACTGCGTAAATCGTATTATAGGCATGAAGAGTGTTGAAAATGAGATATGCAGCCACTTGAATAAGTGCCAGTCGAATGAACTGCATATCCTTCTTTTTGTATCGGCGCCCAGCATGTGAAACATTATTTATTACTGATGTCTGTTCTACAGGAGCAATTTGTTGACTTCGAAGCTGCTCGATATTGTAAAGTATGAGAAGACTGAATATGACCAGAGTTGTGAGAGGAATGAGTGAGAGAGCTACGTTGAAGATTGTATAGAGTATGAAGAGGTTCGATTGTGGTGATGCTCCACAAGGTATCGTGTCGGTCAAAACATATGCGAAAGGTGCATGTATGATGATGAGAAGTAGAAAGACAATACCTCTAATGATCAATCGTCGAGCAGTTTTGGACGTACTCAGTTGACGAGTGAGAGCGTTTCTTGATGTGATCATCCATCGATCAATCGAGATCAGACAAAGAAGATATCGAGATGCACTCAGACTAAATATTACAAAATACACTCGAGTTTGACAGAATATTAGAGATTTGAGAGAAAGATCATAACCAGTCCATGCCCAAATGACTCGTGTTGAACACCCCATGTTGAGGTACAGAAGATGTGCAAGCGATGCGCCAATGAAATAATAGGAACAAACGTGCGAGCGAAGAGTGGCTTGAGAGAATACGAGAATATTTGCCAAGTTTGTTAAGTTGCCGATGATGTAGACAGGTGTAAGCAAGGATCGAATGATCTGTGTTTGGACATTGGCAAGATAAATCGACAGAGTGACGGTAGTTGAATTCATATTTGATGGAAAATGAAAATAGAAGCGCATCATGTGTATAAATACTTCTTTATATATCTGCGATAAGATGTTAATGTAAAAATAGCAAATAATCTTGTCAAAACCTTGAAGAAAAAGGATAATTGTTCCGGAATAAAACACGTCGTTAGAATGTCTCGGATTTGTATAGCTTTTCATTGTTCTTAGAAGCAGTTTACTGTAAAAATTCTTTTGATAGAAAACTGGAAAATCTTATTCATCGTATTCTTGAAAGGCCATACTCATAAAAAGAATTCAGGTACGCTCAAAATATCGATGAACGGGTTAAAAATAAAGCTGAGGTATTCTATCATACGTTAACGATACTATTAATATGAACCATTCCATTTGTGTTTGTTGGCTGTAAACGTCATCTTATAACACAGAACAAAGAGTAACATATAGAAATATGCAGACATGACTTGGCAGAAAATCATGGAGAAACATAATTTCTACTCAACAGATTTTTATGGTTCAACAGAAACAATGAAGAATGAGTGGAACATAGTCCTGAGCCATCTCAATGGAAGAAAAGTGAATATTAAATTCTATTCATTTTATTATTCGTGTCTCAAAGCTAACGGATGTTTGAACGGTCTTCGCAAAATATCGATACAAATCTTCCGAAACGAGACAGATGCCATCGTGTATAAGAAGAATGTGATCTAAACAAAAGCAAAAGTATCAAATTAACCGGTACGATCTGATTAGGAAGCTTACTCCAGTGTATGTGTAATGGAGATTGAGACCTATTCCATTCAGAAATCCTTCTATCGCTCGTTGATCAGCTGTCTTTATTCGATATTGTGTGGCAACTGCGTAAATCGTATTATAGGCATGAAGAGTGTTGAAAATGAGATATGCAGCCACTTGAATAAGTGCCAGTCGAATGAACTGCATATCCTTCTTTTTGTATCGGCGCCCAGCATGTGAAACATTATTTATTACTGATGTCTGTTCTACAGGAGCAATTTGTTGACTTCGAAGCTGCTCGATATTGTAAAGTATGAGAAGACTGAATATGACCAGAGTTGTGAGAGGAATGAGTGAGAGAGCTACGTTGAAGATTGTATAGAGTATGAAGAGGTTCGATTGTGGTGATGCTCCACAAGGTATCGTGTCGGTCAAAACATATGCGAAAGGTGCATGTATGATGATGAGAAGTAGAAAGACAATACCTCTAATGATCAATCGTCGAGCAGTTTTGGACGTACTCAGTTGACGAGTGAGAGCGTTTCTTGATGTGATCATCCATCGATCAATCGAGATCAGACAAAGAAGATATCGAGATGCACTCAGACTAAATATTACAAAATACACTCGAGTTTGACAGAATATTAGAGATTTGAGAGAAAGATCATAACCAGTCCATGCCCAAATGACTCGTGTTGAACACCCCATGTTGAGGTACAGAAGATGTGCAAGCGATGCGCCAATGAAATAATAGGAACAAACGTGCAAGCGAAGAGTGGGTTGTAAGAATATGAGAATATTTGCTAGGTTTGTTAAGTTGCCGATGATGTAGACAGGTGTAAGCAAGGATCGAACGATCTGCGTTTGGGCATTGGCAAGATAAATCGACAGAGTGACAGTGGTTGAATTCATGTTTGATATAGATGAGTATCAAGCTGTGTATTTATAAAAAGACTGAGTAATGTAAATGAGAGTTAAGAAATCTTCTCCAAACGATAGCGAAAAGAGAATACTAATTTATTAGAGATAGAACAAATTATTATCATATTTGTAATGTATAGATCTTTTGCATGTCTGTTCATTAATTTACTCTTTAGAAATTTATAGAATGGGCTTGGTAATGACTCCGTGTATCAAGGTACATAAAGAAAGTAGTTATTGAGGTAGTGTGAGGCGCATATCGCATAGTTACGGGTAAATTAAACGGAGAATATCCGAATAATTTTTCGTGCTTTAAGTATCAAAATGATGATTGTATTAAGCAAAAGTAGGCCATTGTAATTATGTCGGTCGATGTTAGAAGATTGTCTTTTTGCTGCGTAGAATCACAAGTAGGCATGTGAAGTACGGAGAAAGAATTTTGAAGAGATCTACTTGATCCTGGGAGTCCCGGATTTTATGTACCTAAATCGGAGTTTTTCTTATGGAAGATGTTTTAATATAATCTTTGTTCCTTTATGGAGAAGAATTACTCTTGTGACAAGAATCTATTGGTAGTTCATTTTTGTATGATAGTCTTTGAAGCAATCAACAATACATAGAGGAGCCACACCCTCAAGACAAAAATACCGTGTACCATGTCGAATATCATGGGACGCACAATCGAGTATGTAACATACATATATCATACCAATAAGTCGAGATCAAAGTCACAAAGATGGTGTTTGCTTAACGTCTGCTTATAAAAGATAAGATGTTCGAAACAGTTAAAAAATGTACCACGAACATCTTTGTTCAATAGCGGTGCTTGAACGTATATATACGTCGCCGGAACTCCAAGAGTTAAGAATGCACTGTCTTCTTTACAAACTTTGTCGTTAAATCTAACCAAATTCAAGTTCATGGCGATAATCGTTGACAATAATGAGTATGAATAGAGCCAAAAGCATGTAGCGTAATTAATAAAAGGAAATATCACACCCTCACCCTCGATCGTCGATTTATTTCGTTAAAGGTAAGAATTCTCAGCTTAGTGAATAGTGATGTTGGTATCCGCAACGAGATTATCTCATCGCGCTCGATAATTGATAACTAAGCTCTAAAAGATGATCATGAATGAACGTCATTTACTGCTATCGTCAATTTCACGATATTATTCACTATCAGCTGGATATTGTTGCACTTTTTATGAAAATTATTATTCATTCTGAGATACAAGTAGAGAACGTATTCATCGTGTTTGAAATACGATCGAAACTGCCTTAAGCTTACACGTAATTATGTAAAGAAATCGAAACAATCAACGATAATCTGTTATAATCCAAGTGACATATTGATGGTTACAGGAGAAAAAGAATTGAAGTATATTATGTCATTACAAGTTGGTCATTTCTATTCACAAAAGACATCATTAATGATAATTCATAAGCTTTTATGGAATTGAAAAACTCTATAAATTAAACATGATAATTATAAAGCAGTACATTGAAAAATATCATCATTCTCTTCAGTTTTTTCGGTCTTCTCGCGTTTGGAATACTTCTTCATTTGCGAGTATCGTTCAATGGTTGACTCATTGAAATGAACTCGCGCATTCTTTCTCGGATTTTGTTGGTATTTCGAGTCGTTCGATATGGTAAAGAATTTCGATGCGAGATGATTTTGAAGTTGGAAGTTCATCGTTGAGATCGAATCTTGAGAATTGTAGAACATTTTCGGTGTGGATTTGATTACCGAGGAGGAATTTCGTCGTTGATGGTAATCTTGAGATCGTCGTTTGGTAAATTGTGTTGTTTGGATAAACATCATTGTCTCATTGACGGACCGATGGATTGTTTTGATTTGTGAGCGAAATGACGGCAGATATTTTTGACACCAACGTAATTGCGGTTGATAGTGTTGGTTTTGGTGAGTCGGATGTTTCACTGCATACAGATTGAGACGATGTTGAAGATCGAGCTCAATGAAACTGTTGTTCTTCATGTCGTAGGCGACTATTCGGCGATGATTTTCAACAAATCGATGAACTGTTATGCGTCGAAATGGATAGCCGAGGGTAGCGGATGTGTGTTGCTCTAATGATCGACTGATGATCAGTTCGACGATCAATGGGTAGTGATTGGTTAGTTCACTTAGAAATTGAATTGTGTATAGACCTTGAATGGGATTTGAGAGATAGGAGAAGGAATTCGGAGAAGATATAGAGGGAAATTGTGAATAGACAGGAACGAAGATTCCTTTGGAGTCGGATTTGAGAGTGAGAATTTCTGGATGGGCATTGCTTTTCACCTGGAAATGTTCATTGCTTGAGAATTGCTTCTTAATCGAGAATTTTGTTTGATGATTCAATAGCAAATGTTTATTCAGCGAATGTGGTAAACTCGTGAATAGCGTACGTAAACGAACTGTTGATGTTGTTGTTGGTTTATGACAAAGTTCGAGAAGTGTCCCTGGATCTAAATGACATGACGATGAATTATGATGTACGGTATACGATTTCAAAGTTGTAAAATGTGTGTATGAAAGTTTTAAATGTGGTAATAAAGAATGAATCGATTGGAGAACATTGTAACGAGTTATACCGTGTTCGACTAGAGCGAAAAGACCTGAAAATAGACAAATTTTGCATTACGAATCGGTATGGAAAGAGCAACAAACCATCGAATAAAATTGGTATCGCAAATTGTTTCGTTTCATTCGAAACACTTAAATACGGTTCATTGGTTTCACATAATAAAATCAAATAATTCTCTAATGAGTCATTATTATCGATTCGCACGAGACACGGGAATTTCTGCTGTTCGATAATCTTTTCAAATGTTAAACATTCATCTTGATCGAATTCATCATTCGAACGCGATGTCACTGCCCACTTTAACATTCACGCAGATAAATAATTGTCAATATTCAAACATGTATCAATGGAATAATTGAACAAGGTCATTGAAAAAGAAAACTAAATACCAACAAATCCCATTCTGTTCGTTCTTCTTCAAAGAAAATGCAACTGTATGTGTCTTCATTCACTTTCTCTCCATTTCTTTTCTTTCTCCCTCTTTTGTTCTCTCCCTTTTGCGTTCGCACCATTGCTCATGCTTCACTTTTTTTCCTTTCATTTGTTTTAATATATATTAAAAAAAGAAACGGAAGGAAATTATACCTTTTTCACGAATATATTACTGATAACCTTCAGTTGTTCTTGTTTCGAACATATTCTTTCACTTGAAATCTCTTCCTTAATTGATTTGAAAACATATACAAATGTTGTTTTTGCTCTCCGATCATGACAGGTCAATTAATATGCGTATACACTCTATACATTGACAGACATTCAATAACGAACCGTTTTCGATCCTCTCAACATGAAACAGTTTAGATTCAAGGTCCTAATCTTCTATGTGCGTGTGTAGAAAGTTTCTCTCGGTTAATTGCGCATGTTCAAAAGACTTTTTATTATGTAACACCGAAATATATGAGCTCTATTTATTATTTTAGAGAAAAATGTTAGCATTTGAAGTCATTCGGTGTTAATTGATTTGTGTTAAACGCTTGTTCGATGGTTTGAGCCATGGCTGATTGCATCGCTTCCCGGCGAGTTTTGAAGCCTCGAGCTTTACCGATAAAGCCTGGAATTTTGTCTTCGCATTGGAATTTGGCATCCCAAACCCATTGAAATTTACTACTGACGTGTCCTTTGATGATGCGCGAGCATTTGATATCGCAGATTTGAATTGGTTGGTCATCGTACCACGTATTCTTATTCCAAATATATGTACTTAAACTATTTGCACAATCTTTCCAATTGTCCAATTGACCTTCGATTTCACAAGTATCAGGAAAATCATAATTTTGTTCCGATGAACTACCATCAAGTGCTAATGCACCTTGAATGCTGATGCACAGAATTATTCTCAGTAAAATTAGTTGAAGGGACATACTTAGCTTTAAAAAAAGCTTTCAAATAAGACTTCGGATATGAATCGAATGATATAATTTACTTGATGTTAAACGCTCTATGGGACAATTGAAGAATTTATATACTTGCCCATCTTGCTGTGTTGTCGATCCATGACTTAGATATTTATGAGAACAGATGGAACATGAATAACGGTAAAAGCGGATAACCGCTTTTAGTCAGATCTGACTCTCCCACATGCTATTCGTCTCATTAGTAACAGAAACAATATAGATAAAGTCACCTTCTCGGATAAAAACCTTGTTCAATGTCGTTGTTCGATTTTTGACCCATACCTGCATCGGTTCGATGGTGTAGCGGTTATCACGTCTGCTTTACACGCAGAAGGTCGCGAGTTCAAACCTCGCTCGAACCTTTCTTTTTGTTTTTCTTTCGAGTTCGTCTCAATCACAAAAGTTTCATTGACGTCAAAATTCTTCGAAACACCTACACTTTCATGTATATTATTATCGAGATTATCATGTATCGATAAGATGAGGAGTAGGAGGCAAGTCATCTACATGTAAACCTTGAGAAAAGGTATATGAACTCCCTGAAGAGCCATCAATCAACAATCATTAAGACGCAGATTTGTTATTTTCTTTTCACAGACGGAATACAAGGAAGTGAGAAAGAACAATCACGATCATTACTAGTTCGGTGTTGATTAATATGATCATATATTCGCAAGTAGTGATCGTCAAGCGTGATAATTTTCAGTTGTTGATATGTCACGTTTCCTTTCTTCTTCGATACATTAGTTTTGTTCCTAATAAGAAAAAAAAGAAAAGAGAAAACCCGTAGCTTTCATTAAGACAAAGACACACAAACAACAGACACAGTATTCCAAAAAGAATCTTCTTGTAAAATGATTTCTCCGAAAGTTATCTTTTGCATTGCTGTCCTGGCAATCATCATGTTATTTGTTTGTCCTTCACAATCGATGCCAGCAGGCAAGTCCAATACCGCGGATTTATCAACACGTCATAAACGATGGACTTTTAATACGTGGCGTCTACATGGCCGGCGGCAATTGTCCAACGGTTTGTTTATATAATGATTCTTTTTCCGAAGCACAAATCTGTGTTTGTAGGTGGGTTATCTCAACAGAACGCTGATTATCCATATCAAGTCTACAATGATGAAGACGATCTTGTACGACAAATCCATGAACGGCTTTCTCAAGCTTTTCCTGAATTGAATCGTAATTAGAAAAAAAACACATACGAATGTATGAACAGAATAAACATCAGTTTAAGAAATAAAAAGCGAATCTCTGTTTTCATTTGAATCGACGAGAAAAATTACACGACAGATCTGCTGATTTTGTCAGCTATTTATAGCGTTTTACTGGGGAAATAGGTTGGATCTTGATATAAATACAAACAAGAGAACGACATGTTTGTTTCGCATCTATGATTTTCTTTTTTCGAACTTTGATCTTAAGAGAAGTGAACTGCTACCTACGAAGAAGTTCGTGTATTTTGACGACACATATCAAATTGGTGGAGAGGTCATATGAGATACGTTGTTATCATAATCTTCGAGAAATTAATTTGATCTTGATGTTAGATGAGTGAGCAGAAGATTAGAGTGGATGTTTAATAAAAAAAAAGTAACGAAATTTTATTTATAAATAAACGCCTTTGTCTTCCGGAATGCTTTGTTGATTAGTCATTAGTTGAGTTTTCTTTTCCATGCACGATCGCTTTTGTTCTTCTTCCATTTTTTTGAAATCCAGCGCAATGGGTGACCAATGGATCTCCTTCTGATCATCTGTATTCTCTTTAATCAGCTGAAATATTTCATTGATCTTTCGATGATATTTCTCGATAATTTTCTCGTTTTCATCAATATGTTCTTGTAATTCACTATCATCTTTGACATAATCTAAAAGCAAGACTTCTAGTTTATGATACATCATTGAGATTTTTCTTACCGTACATGTCGCTGTTCGACTTTTGCAAATGATAGCAACGCTTACACAAATCTTCGATACTTTCCATTAGTTGACAAATCGAATCAGTCATAATCGAGAGAATTCTATAGAAGATATGAAAATCAAATGTAGTCAATCACAAAACACGATCTTATGTTGTTTATTTTGCATATTAAAAAACAAACACACTGCTCGGTTATTATATACAGATGAAAAAATGAGTCAGTTCAATGTTGAGACCATTTGATACTTTTCAAATCGACTCCCTCTTGAAGCATTTCCCAAAGTGGACTAAATAATAAAGAAAAGTAAGATGATAATGGACTTGTATGCATCATCGATCTCACCTCATTTCGCGAAGTCGTTTCACATGTTCAACTGTTTTGGCAATTGTATAATCAACTTCAGCTTCGGTGGTAAAACGACCAATACCAAATCTGTTTTAAACAAGAAAATTTCCTTGAAATCATTCTTTCTAAACATCATAATTCTATTACCGAATGGATGAATGTGCTAAATCTTCTTCAGCACCAATCGCACGCAGAACATACGACGGTTCCAATGATGCAGATGTACAGGCACTTGAAATTATAAATTACATGTCAATATCACGAAGCAAAAGTTTATCTTACCTTCCCGATGATAATGCGATGTCTTTAAGTGCCATTAATAATGACTCGCCTTCGATATAAGCAAAGGAGAGATTGACACAACCAGGATAACGTGATTTGGCATCACCGTTGAGAATGACATGCGTACATTGACTGGTGATTCCATCAATTAATCGTTTCGCTAACTGTGAAACGCGTTTTTCGTCATTCTAAACATTTTGATCTTCACAATATTTTCAAAGACATTTAGAGTTGACTTACAGGAAGTTCTTCTTGAGCTATTTGGCATGCAGCGCCGAGACCAACAACGAGTGGAGTAGGAACTGTTCCACTCCGAATATTTCGTTCTTGTCCACCACCAGTTTGAATCGGATCAAGACGAACACGTGGTCGTCGACGGATGTAAAGTGCGCCAACACCTTTGGGACCGTAGATTTTATGTCCACTGATTGACATCAGATCGATATTCATCTTATTAACATCGATCGGAATCTTTCCCACAGCTTGAGCGGCGTCCGTATGCAAGAAAACTTTCTTCGATCGACATAATTTGCCTATAAAAGTAAGAAAATCCATAGAAATGCATTCGATAGGTAAGTTCATCACCAATTTCTTCGATTGGTTGACGAACACCGATCTCATTGTTGACCATCATCACTGAACATAAACTTGTCTCTGGTGTGAGAACAGATTCGAGTTCCTACGAAACGAAGAACATCTCTCGAGATGAGTAAAAAAGTTTCAATCAAGCTTACTTTCAAATCAAGAAGTCCATTTTTGTTCACTGGAAGATAAGTTACTTTGAAACCTTCACTTTCTAAAACTCTCATTGAGTCCAACACACATTTGTGCTCCTAGAAATCAATCAAATAGCACTGAAGTATCTTCATCGGAATCAAACTTACAGTTTGTGTTGTCACGACGTGTTTCTTCTTTTCTTTATAGAATCGTCCAACACCTTTAACAGCGATATTGTTTGACTCAGTAGCTCCACTTGTAAAAATAATTTCCTTCGGATCCGCATTGATTAACTTCGCAACTTTCTACAAACATAATTTGTACTATTTTCAAAAACCTGATAAGTGCGCCTGTACTTCTCGTGCATCCTCTGTTGCCTTTTCACTTTCCCATCCGAAAGCATGTGTTCTCGAATGAGGATTTCCATACAAATGCGTCATGTACGGCAACATTTGATCCAGTACACGTGGATCCTAAATAACCATCTTCACCAAGAACATATCGCAATCAAAAACAAAATTTACCATTGGTGTTGTCGCTTGCGCATCTAAGTACAACGGTCGATATTGAAGTTTTTCTAACTCTTGATATTTCTGTTGCTGGGCTTTGCTTTCCTCTGCCTCTTTTTCTGATGGATTACTCTTCGAACTCAATCCTCGGTAAAGCCGAGGACACACCGCTGGAGAAAAGAGCGTTTTAACCGGCGAGGTCTTTGTAAAAAGGAACATCTAGAAATAATAAAGCAGGCCGTCCTAAGATGAGCAATTCATTCAAATGGAACCAAAAAGAAAACTATTAGAAAGCACGAGATCACACTTAGACATGAACTTAGTTGTCGTTGCCTTTAAAGTTAAATAAAAATCAACAAAACAAAACAAAAAGAAAAGAAACCAACGGTCAGTGGTTCGTCAAAACAAAACAAAAAATAATTTCAACGTGTAAAGTTCTAGTTCATTAAGAAAAAAAACTATATTATGTTTTGATTCGTTGAAAAACAGAAACAAGGAGAATAAAACATGTGTGTTGTTTTCGAAGATGAAAATAACAAATTGGAAGGAAAAATATGAATTAATCAGGTAGCATTCATTGTTTTGATTGAATTTGAAAAGAAAAACTAGAAGATTATTGCAGAAATGTTGATATACTCATAGATATTTTCGGGAAATCTGTTCTTGACGAGTTCTAAACCGAAATATTTTGTAGAAGATTATAAAGAAAGCAAAGATTTACTTGAATGTTAAGTAACCAATGATGATACCAAGTTGTACGATAATCGCGAGAAAGAAGGTAAATGAACCGACGCAGGAACTATCAGTTTTGGTTGTCGATGGTGAACATTTGATTTCTTGGGACTAAAAAATGAATGATTTGAGTGGTTTTCAGATAATTCAGATATGTTTCTCACTGATTTTTGTATTAAAGTGTTCGTTTCTGATTTTATCATTCGAACTGTTTCCCGAACTTCGTTTAAAACTGTATTATCGACATTCGAATTAGCTATTTGTTGTGCTCCACCCATCGGTCGTTGAATATTGATGTTCGATTGAAGATTATTCACCTTCTGTTGCATATCAGTTAAAACTTGTCTGAAAGAGACGCACGTCGTGTCCAACGCAAAGCCTTCTGTTTTACGAAACTTACGCGAAACTTTGAATAGTTCGCGTCATGTCGCTATTTGAATTAATAACACGATTGATATCTTGAATACGTGCAATGTCGGTTGGGATAGCTGATGCACCCTGAAATATGGGAAAAGGACGTTCGATTTTGATACTTTGAAATGAACTATTACTTGAGCTTGTCCACTTATTTGTTGTTGATTGGAAGTTAAAGCAAGTCGTTCGACGCGTCCTAACAACTCAGCCATTTTTCGATCAATTGCGCCCAAAGAAAGACGAATTTGATCTTGACCTTCCAAAATCGTTCGAAATTCCCGATCGTATTCACTTTCGTACTAAAATTTCAGAGTGAATTCATTGGATTACAACAGATTGCCTCATACTATTGCCTGCTCATTGATTGGTGTTGTTTGATCAGGATGATCTTTTTGATACCTAAAGAATTCAAGAACGGGAAAGAAATATTTGAAAGAGAACTTGAGGTAAAATACGAACTCTGCCTGTTGTTTTTTAAGTTCCTGTTCGTATTTTTCATATTCTTCTTGATATTTTTTTGCCTGTTCATCAGTTGCTCCTTGGTTTTCAGCCATGACTTGCTTATCCCAGTATGTATGTGTTAGTAATTCCAAAACATCGTGATCATCAGCAAGACCACCGGTCGCCGCTGAAACACCGAGATAACCAGTTTTTGGTAATTGAATTCCATCAATACGTGTACAGAATTCAAAAGCATTATCATCTTGTGAGATGCCATTATTCAAATAAATCTACGAACGAAAATCCCTATAGAAAACCGTTAATCGTTCGTTTTCTTCACTCACTGTTAATCCTTTGTTGATATATTCGATCTTAAGTCGGATGGGTAATGGTTTATTTCGAAAATCTCGAATACAACTTCCTTGAATTTGACCACTACCATCATGTTGATGATCGTACGATTTCGTTCCGTCGTTGACCATTACAGCTATGATTGGATTATTTTGCTAGAATGAAAAAGAAAAATGAGACTCATTGCTTTCTTTCGCTGATTAAAGAAGTTGTTTAGTTTTGTATCGGAGTCATGAATCAGCCAAGTGATCACAGTCATCATGCTGGGATTAACACTCCGACATTTCTCTCGCCATCATTGATTAAGAGACACATATCATTGTCTGTTGCCAGACTAAGGACTCTGCCCAATGATGGCATGTGGATTCGAACACACGTACAATCGATTTAAACAAAACAACTAGATTAATATATGACAACCAAGAGAAAATGTGAATAAATGTTCAATAGGAAGTCAAGTTTGTGTATGGAAAGTTTAGAAAGAATATAGTGGAGTGAATAAAAGAAGTACGAGAAGCGTGTCACTTACGAATTGAGGGGTCTAAGAATTTTGAAAAAATGAAAACCTGTTCATTTGATTTGGATTTTCATTGCAATGAAAACAAAAGCAAATTTCTTGATTTTTCAGCTACTTACTAGAGCATCGTTATCGAATGAATCTAGAAAAACACCTAGACCATTCCAATGATCATTCGCACCAAACACCGGACCTTCAACACCCTGCTTTTCAGTGAACCAAATCGCCTTTACAAACAAAGAAGACCATGTCGAATGGAAGATATATTCAGATTCTCTTACCATTCCATCAGCACCAACACGACCTCGACCGGTCACACGTAATTTCACATCCAACAGCCAATTATCAGCAGTCATGGAATTTTTACTCCAAATCCATCCTGTATTCAACACAATGTTCAACTCACGTTGGAAAATTCCTTCAATTTACCGTTTTGACTCCGGATTGATGGTGTCACACGTACTTGATCATCACTTGCAATAGTGCCTAAACAATCATACACGAATAAAACCTCGAGATTCATCGTTTATGGAAGTCCTACTTCCACCGTGTGTCCAAAATGGAACAGTTCCGTCTTTAAAAGCCAGATGAGGTCCTTTAAATGATAGTTTATATTCAAATCGTTTCGTCAATTGTGGATTTATTACAGATGGATCAGTGAAAGCCAGTAGAAGTTTAATCGAAAAGCATGTAATCAGAATAATTTGGTGGAATCTCATCATAACTCTGTGAATCTGACGGTATGACGATGGAAAAATAATCTAAATCAAAAATCCAAATGTGAAATGAGATGAAAATAGACGAAATAGAATCGATCACCAATCAAGTTTCTTGGCCAGGTGTTGAGTATTTATTTGATTTGATCATAGGCTTGACGCATCATCTCATGTTTTCTACGAATGAAAATCAATTCTCAAATAGAAAGTCGGAAAAAAATTCTTTTGCTAAAATTAACCAAATTTCTCCATTAATTTCTTACTTTTCATCGTAAAAGAAGATGTCGTGGGTATATATTCGCTCGCTGCGATTTCTTATTAGTAAATACGAAATGACCAATCATAGATAAACTGAAATACAATACAAGCTGAGTATACACACTTCCTCACTTCTCCAAGATGATCCGTTTTATTCTTATCCAAAACCGAGCTGGTAAAACTCGTCTTGCTAAATGGTATATCTGTTTTGAACAAATCTTCTAAATCTGTTATCCCGCTTGTATTTTAGGTTTATGAACTTTCACGATGATGAAAAACAAAAGTTAATCGAAGAAGTTCATGCTTTAGTCACTGTCCGAGATGCCAAACATACGAAGTGAGTCATACTTTCTAATCATCATCACACTTCCTCTCTTTTTGAATTTAGTTTTGTCGAAGTAAGACAAGCAATACATGAAATCATCTCCTCTATTGATTAGTAACAAATATGCTTTTTAGTTTCGCAATTTCAAAATAGTCTATCGTCGTTACGCTGGTTTATATTTCTGTATATGTGTTGATGTCAATGATAATAATCTGGCATATCTTGAAGCAATACACAATTTCGTCGAAGTACTTAATGAGTATGTTTAATGTTCAGACGTTCTCGGTGAATTTTTTGTCTTTTCTTTTAAGATTTTTCCATAACGTGTGCGAACTTGATTTAGTCTTTAATTTTTACAAAGTAATTGAAGAATTTTGACTTTGATGAATGATTTCATATTTGACATAGGTTTATTCGGTTGTCGATGAAATGTTCTTGGCTGGTGAAATTCGCGAAACAAGTCAAATCAAAGTTCTAAAACAATTAACTACTTTAACATCACTTGAATAATCTTTGTCATCGTGTTTCTTTACTAAATAACCACATTCTTCTTTGATCTCTTCACAAAATAGATATGATATTGTCTTATTGATTTCTAAGAAAATTCGATGATTTTTCAGATGTGCTGATTCGGTAAGAACATGGGTCGAAAGAACGACATTGGTAATGCCACTTCACTTGTCGATCAGTATCGAAAACAATTTGGTTTGTGATTGAATTGAATGTGGGCATAAGTGATGATGATGATGATGATGAGTTGTGTAGGTCGACAAGAGAGGAAAGTTGTTACTGAACGTTGTCGAGGAACTCATATCTGATGTTAGTTTTTTGAAATTTTTTACAAAAAGAAATCTTCTAGACAGAGGACTATTTTTCTATGAAAAATTTTTTTAATAAAATTTGACCAAAAGGTTTTTAAGGCCGAGAAACACGAAGCTGAGGTTAGTTTTTTATATCCTTTTAGAAAATTTTTTTTCATAAGAGTTGATTGAAGAGTTTCAAAGGTTGCGGAATCGGAATCTGGTATTATGCTTTTAAAATTTTTTCATGAAAAAATTGTTTTTCAAAGAGCACACTGCAAATAAATTAATACGCACAATAATATCTTTAAAATGTAACAGCTGAAAGGAATATTTCTACGAGAAAGAGCTGAGCAAGTCGCTAGACGAGCGTTACTTGTTTGAATTATGTCTACTTTGTATGAGAACACGTTGTTAGTAAGTGGAAATCGTTCTCTTCAATGTTTCGAGCTGGGCGGGACTAGGCCAAAAAACTTCGTTCCGCTGAATTCCATCAATATCTGCTTGTATTCACAGAAAGAACAAAAACCTTATTTTAAGTTTCATATCTCTGCCATTTCAATAGAAACTTAGCTGAAAATAATTCCTGAAGCCAATCATTTCAATATTCTGACAACTATTGATAATAACCATCGAAAACTTCGGAAAAAGACAAGATTGTGACAAAATCTTGCAGGATCATCCAGCAAGAAAATTTGTAATCATTGAGCAAAATTATTGAGACCAGGACACGAAGAGCAGAGAAACAAGGGGTTCAAATCAAATTTGTAGAAAAAGGCAGATCTGTTTTCGGATTTGATAAAATGATTCAGTTTACATTAACAAAACAGCCAATGAAACATCATTTATTATCAAAGAATTTATTTTACAAACATAAAAAAATGTACTTTTTGTCGATGACATTGAGCCAGTGTCACTGACGTTATATTATCTTCATTTGTATTTCTTTTGAAGTCATATTCATTTACAGAAAGTGTTCATTTAAAAGTTGTGGAAAGAAAACACTTCTATTCAGAAGTTAAATCCAGTTGGAATAAACCCAGATAAGCGTGCAAGAAGGAAACAAAGCTACAGTGCATGCAACTCCCGCCAACGAAACAGCGTCCAGCGTATACTTTACCAGTGTACGTATATCCATAAATACATATTATTTCAACAGGTAACCATTTGGCGTGTTTATTCCAGTTTCTTATGAGATGAATTTGAGGAGCTGAGAAACCATTCTGCTAGTATAAAAGAAGTCAAATATAATCCATTTAGTTCAATACGAAAAATAATATAGTTATGACAACAAGAAAATCGGATTTCACTATTGTTTATAGTATTTACTAGAGGAATTACCAGGTGGCAATTAAGAAATATGTATATCGAGCATCATACGTGTTGAAAAGCGACAGCAGATAGAAAAGTCAGTATACTTCAAATGTCTACGCTTGCGGTCATTATCTTTCCCGCCGGGCATCGCACAAAGGGACGATTTCGGCTATATCTTTTTAGGCAAAAGAGTTACCGAAGCTAATTTCTGCGTCAGAAATTATTGCAATTGCCTCTTTTACTGATATTCATTCTCCACTGCAGCCGTTTACTCACCAATCTCATTCTCACTCTCACGTCATTTCACACCTCATATCCTTCACATCCATCCATCACTTCACTCTCGCCCAATACCATGATCGACATCTTTCACATAGTCTTGCTAACACTCCCACTCTGAAGATCCTCCTTAGTAATCTCAATCTCCTATCAATCTTTCTCTGAACCGAAAAAGTCTTGATGAAAGATTTCGTGACCTTATCTACTCAGGTCAACAAATCCGATCGGATCTTACCGGATCCGACCATCTGACAAAATCCGATCGGATTCCTGGAAACGGAATTGCATTGGAATCCGACTAGAAAAATCCCGTCGGTTGTTGCAAATTTTATGAGCGATCTTTCTAGCTATATTCTATGATGACCCTTAGAAAATGCAGGAAATCCATGTTTCGGATCCGATGGGGTCCGAGTATGGGATTGTTCGACCTGGGACGAACAAACGGTGTTTCAGCTAAAAGCGTTTTTACTAAATAAGTCCCGTCCATGAAAAGTACACTATTTGACCCAGAATTTAATTTTGCATCGAATGGTGGTACTTTTATTCACGAGACAAACTTAGGAAAAAATTTTACCTAATACATTGTCTGTTCGTGCTAGCTTCACACTGATATAGCAATGAGACAGGTCCACCCCTAGGCGAACTTTTTTGTTCATGTGTTTGACTAGACTCTATATTGAGATGCGTTCATAGTACATAACTCCCTGTCCATTAGCAAGTGCTTGAATGTTTGCATGAATTCTATGTCAAGACAAAGACATTCTTACGCTTGACACATGGAGATCATCTACGTAAATATGTTAGAAGCGATTAATTTGAATTAAGCTCCTGTATATGTTTCTTCTATTCGATTAACTGACATCGCAGTTTTTTGTCAATATTCAAATTTAATTATTGGTTTCGAATATTTGTTCGTCTTTCCAACTACGTATAAAACTTTATTAATAGTCAATAAATGTGAACGATAGTTTATAAGAAATGGACAAAAATCACTTGTGAACGATGCAAATTGGACGAATTCCAAGGTTCTTTAACGCATAAACATGATTGAAGTTATTGTAAAATACCTAATCTTCAAAATTATTTTAAGATTTTTTTTTCATTGTCGTATGTGAATTGTTCAACTGACTTCTTTACTACCGGTCACACATAGTATGATCTTTAGCAATCTAGTGTTATTACTTTATGACGAACGACATCTAAACACAAAATCGCAAATGAGACTGACCTCTCTTTTGTGTAATCAGGTCAGGATTCTTGTTCAAGAAACACAAGCGCTGAAGTTTTTCCAAAGGTTGCAAGTCTTGACTGAAGATGTGTCTGTGCGCCAGGGCAGTCTTGTTCAAAAAAGCGAAGAAACTCATGCGCTTGAAGAGAAACGTTTCTCTAGACTATGTTTTGACGTCTAAATTTCAAAGCTTGAAGTTTCTTTGCATACTTTGCTTCCTTCAAAGCAAAAACAAATCAATACGATTCGTCCAAATTCTGTGTTAGATTCAGAATCGCCGACCCTATACAACACCTCATCTTCTATCCTACAGATCGTCCACTTTTCGTTAACAAATCCGTTCAAGATTAAACTAACCGATCCTTAGCTAGTCAAAGACTACAGCGTCAAACAATAAGGAACACCATTCGAGTGCTTGTTTACCGTTCAAAAGAACTTACTATTCACACGATGAATCACATATACGTTTCGCTGTACCACCATTGCTTCGTCAAAATAGAACCGTCCTGCTTTCACACGTACACTGAAACAAAATAGCAAAATCTCAGTTCACCATTCTACGAATAAAATCTTGAGATTCTCTTCCTCTCAGCGTTAGCCGACTTCTCAAAAACATTGAACAAACACTTACAAACGCCACCTTCCCGATTTTTATATTTTAATCCCGATACCCCTGCGTAATAATGATCCAACATTTCTATCGATACCGAATTCCGATCATCGAGCGGCATTTCCCCAACCAGTTACGGACTTTCCTCTTCGCAAATTTCCACGAACCTAAACATCCATCATTATTCAACGAAAGATCAACCTCTTCCTTACTAGTTCATCGCACCCAATGATAATTTACAACACAACTAAAGTAAAAGCATCATAACCACAACTTTATGATCGCTCAACTCACTTCTACAAGTTTCAACCGATATAAACTCAAAATCCTTCAATCACGTTAATCGATCAAATTCAAAACACTGAAAAAGAACAACGTCATGAAACCCGCTTGATCCTTTTCGAACTCAGCGGGATGATGCATAGAAAATCAAGAAAGGTGTTTGTTGAATAGGAGGAAATGTAGAAGAGCGGAACTGAAAGAAACGATAAAATTGAGAAGATATTTGAGATGCTGAGTTGAAATGAGGCAGATATGTTATTGAAAGCAGGGAAATGAAGAGAAGAAAAGAATATATAGGAGTGGTGATAGTTTTAAGCTAATAATTGAAAGATTGTTTTTGGAGCGCCTTCTGTGTGGTAATACATGATCGGATTAGGTGATAAGAGTATGGTATTGCTGTAAAAAGTGAATAGAGGAGAAGAGAGAAACGAGGAAGTCACCACGGGATATAGAATACCGGATTTTTCAAGTATGACTCACATGAACAGATTTGCACGTGCACGTAATGAAACGAACTAATCGAGCTCTGTAACGATTATCTTTCAAATGCATAATGCGTCGCCCGGGACCTTTGACAAACAAGCAACAAGGTCAAATACATAACTGCGGCCGATATAAACCGACCAGCTGGCATCTTGACGAGAACGAGAGGAAAAGTACATAGTCATAAGTAATTGTGTCTTTTATTTCATAAAATTCTTCGTGAACTCATTAAAGAATAATCTTCTTCATCATTTCATCTATCTCTAACAATATCAAATTAAATGAGCATATACACACACACACGCACACAGAAATACACGTAACAAACTAGAAAATCGCAGTTTTTTTCTTTTGTTGTAATGAGATTGGTCTGTTGTGTAGTTTTATAAAGGAAAAAACAAAAGAAAAAATATTTATATATACTAGACAAAACATAAAAGAGATCACAGTGGTGTAGTAGGACGCTGTTCATTGTTATAAGCATGAAGTAAACGCTTCTTCAATGGCACACTGGGTTCCGATGATGATGCTGATGATAAATTCAATTGATTAAATGAATTCGAATACGAACGTTGACGTGGAGGATCATGTTCATCGTTCTGACCAAACATCGACTAAAAGCACAAAGCAAATGCACCTGTTATGAACTACGATCGTATTAATTATGCATCCGTCTACAATCATTAAAATCTTAGTTTTTTTTTCTATAAATAGATCTCAACGACATTGTCATATTTGCTCGCATATATTTAGCTACACCGAATGATGTTAACGGTAGATTAGCAAATGAGATTTCTCATTGTTCAACTTCTCTGATAGAAATGTACTGAGGGAATCAACGAGAGAAGCGAAAGAAATTTACTCAATCTCGTATGAGTGATTTCAATGAGAGATCTTTCCAGATATTTACTTTGGTTTTACGCGATACCGATGGTGTCGTATTGCTGATACTATTTGAACGACTTGGTGTTGCTGGATAATGTGGCACCGGGACTGGTAAGGCAAGTTTTGTCGAATGCGAATACCGAGGACAGTTACAAGATGTTGAACAAGTGTTTGAATGAGCAGAATTTTGATGAATACGAAATTGATCATAGAGTGTCGAGTTCATGTTGAATTTTGAGTATGGAAAAGACGATGGTGTAGAGGAGTTATTCACTGGGAGATTATAGGGTTCCGAATTTGAATGACGAGAACGTTTCGATGAATCGAAATGCAGTGAATCGTTTTGAGAACGGGTAGAATGCATCAACTGTGTTGAATTCGTTCCTGAAGATTCCAGTTCGAACGGTTCATGAAACGAAAATGGCGGAATATTGGGTGTTGGAAGCGATGCCGCTACCAGAGATCTTCATGAATAAATTCAAATAGAAAGTATAAAAAGAGAAGACGATGTTACCTTTTACGTTTCAGTTTTGATTGGATTGGAAATTGAGCATTTGGATTAGTTGGAGAATTCACATTTTGCATGACTCGTGTGGCTGAATCTAAAGGAAACATGTTCGAGGAAATTTCGTTCAAAAGTGTAATTTACTGTTTCGTTGAAGTGTAGTTGATGAATAGTCATTTTCAGGTTTATCTGGTTCGCGACGTATTAAATAATCGAAGTCTCGTGGTGCAGATGGTGACGAGGTTGTCGAAGGCTTTGGCGATAGTTTACCAAAACTATTTGCTCGTTCTAAATATTGATATTAAAGGAGAATATATTTTGATTTCTAATTGCGACAGACTGTACCATGATTCATCAGCAAAGTTCGAGTAATTGAACTACGCGGTCGCTGATTTCCAGTATCAATACCACTATCAGTATTGTAATTTGTACTTTGAGCTGATTGGTCTTCGAGAATTTGTTGAGTAATTTCTAAAATGAAAATTTCTTTCGAAAAGTTCGACTTCCGCTCATCTCTCTACCTTCATATTGATGATTATTCAATGGTTGACCACCGAGTAGTTTCGCTATCGAAGAATTTCTTCGCCGTTGCTGTTCAGCTGTATTATTTGTATCTAAATTTTCCAAAGACACTCCTCGACATTCCTCAAACTCACAACGATTATTACCGAGTGTAAAAGGTGGTACAGTTGTTGGTGCTGGAATGTCAGAAGTTTGAGTAGGTGTTGGTTTAACTGGAATGTCATTGGCACGAGGTCCAACTGGTTCTGATGCTGTCGCGGGTGCTAGTTCTTCTTCTGAATGCGAACTATCATCTATGACAAGCAACGTTGCACATGATGGAGACGAGCTTGGAGAAGACTAGGAATATAGAGAAATAAGTACCCAATGACTTTTGAAAATAGATGAGAAGAAAAGTACATACATTGATCGTAGTAGGAGGTGGTGGGGTAGTTGATGGTTGAATTTGGGAAGAACTTGTATTGTCCTTGATATCGGTGTCTGTCGTGTCCATAGTCGTTATTCTGGAATTGCAAAATAATGAAATATCTGAAAGAAAGAAACAAGTAAATCACCTGCGTGCTTTCACATTCCCTTCGTTCGTTTCGTCTTGACCTCTCAGATATATTTTATCAATCTGACTATGAAAACAAAGAAGAAAAACAAACATTTTCATTCATTCGATGCTTCTGCCGATAAAATCGATGGAACAGTATATTTCTCACTGTGACTTATGTATATATAAACGTAAATGAAATAGAAATGACTATGATGATAATAATAGTAGCAATACACATTCTTATTCTCTTCTTCTTCGCTTTTCCTCCGTCTCAAAACATTGAATCGTGTGAGCACATGCAGGGTGAGATATTTTTTTCTCTTGACAAACATACCCGCTAGTAGCTGATGAGTCTGCCGGTAAAAAACAGAAAAGAAAAACCTAGAAGTGATACAAAGAAAGAATGAAAAAAAAACTGGCAAGAAACACAACGGACGGACGCGAAAAGAAACAGAATTGTTTGTATGTGCAATCATGCTAATAACTTCGAGAAAAGGCAAAGATACTGAATAATTTTCATGAAGAAAAAGCCTTTTATCCTAATGATACCATGTGGTATTTCAACAGTTATGATATGATTGTGATTACAGTTGAATGAGTAGAAGAGAAAGTTAAATAATTTAATATGAAATAACATTTTCTATGTAGAAAGGAGTTTAATTAGCTGATAAAATAGGAAACAACTTAATGAGAAGGCGAATATTATTACATGAGAAATGACAATGGCGATGTTTCGTCAAGTACGTAATGCTGTTATGAAAGTTAAATTTAATCATGAATTTGTCTCGTAGTCAAACGATAAGGAGAGACGTCTTTCGTACACTCTGGGGGGATGATGAAACGAGTTTTCATTATGTTTTTTGCTTTTGAAACTGTTATTATCATGAGATTAAGTTAATAATTATCCTTACTTTGCCGAATCCTTCCAAATTACCTGCGTGTTTATCTTATTTGATTCAGATAGTAATTTTTCCTCGAAGTGTTTTTCATTCGGCTACAAAACACAAAAAAAAAGCGTTCCTCATACCTTTCGTCTATGTTTGTACCCTTGTTTTGCTAATACGCCTTTCTTTGTCGAAAATATCGACTGAAATGCTATCTGATATAGAATGCTTACGATTGACCTTGGTTGAAGATCAAATATAGCTTATACCTATTTAGCCGAAGAATTGTCAGTGCATGTCATAATTTTCGAGAAAAGAGTAAATAAATAAATGGTTGCGCTGAAGTTTCTGATTGTATACTACTGGCACCAATCATATTATATCAATCCGATTGGTCGTAGTTGTATGCAGAAAAGCAAATGGAAGACGGGAGAAAAACACGAGGGAATGATACGTTGTATTAATTGGATTTATTATCGAATGATTCGATCATCAGAACGAAAAACAAGATGATTTGTATAAATTAACTTACTGATTGATTGGCTTTTAGATTCTTATCATGTCGACGGAGTCTAATAGAGACACAATGGAATATCGATATTTAGGTCGGACTGGTCTCAAAGTCAGTTTGTTGTCTTTTGGTGCCTGGGTAAATTTCCATGAATGAATAAAAGCAAGATTTCGGGGTTTTAAATTCGGTTTTCTTCTTCTAGGTGACGTTTGGTGATCAAATGGATGTGAATGAAGCTTACAATTGTATGAAAGTAGCCTATGATAATGGATGTAATTTCTATGATAATGCGGAAGTTTATGCTGCTGGCAAAGCCGAAACAGTGATGGGTGAAGTGCTTAAACGAATGTTTGAACAAGATGGAATTCTCCGTAGTGATGTAGTTATTTCAACGAAAATCTTTTGGGGAACGGCGTATTATCACGCGCAAGCGAATAAAGCGAATTTAAAAGGTTTATCACGTAAGCATTTGTATGAAGGTATCAAAGGAAGTTTAAAACGTCTACAACTCGATTATGTTGATATTGTTTTCGCACATCGACCGGATCCGCATACACCAATGGATGAGATTGTGCGAGGCTTTAATTGGATTATCGATAAAGGATACGCGTTCTATTGGGGAACATCTGAATGGTCAGCCGAGCAAATTCGTCATGCGTGTGAGGTTGCCGAGAAACTTAATTTGATCGGTCCATGTGCTGAACAGCCACAATGTAAGTCCAAATCTTGTTTTTTTTGTGAACATAATTTGACAGTTTTCTTTTACAGACAATATGTTACATCGTACTCGTTTCGAGATCGAATACGCACCGCTCTATCAAGCACCTATTCAATTAGGAACAACGATCTGGTCGCCATTAGCATCGGGATTATTGAGCGGAAAATATAGTAAAAACAAACAAATGGAAGGTGAAAATGGCCGATTTGGTTTAGGTTCCAATGTCTCGAAATGGCTTCGAACGTCGTTCCAATCCGGTGAAGGTCCCAATGGCTTAGAAGAGAAGAATGTCGATAAAATCATGGACACAATTGAGAACTTAAAACCCATTGCTAAGAAATTAGATGCTACCTTAGCGCAATTAGCTTTAGCTTGGGCCGCAAAGAATCCTCATGTTAGCACGGTGATCACAGGAGCAAGTCGATCAAGTCAAGTGACTGAAAATTTCAAAGCATTAGCACTTCTTCCCAAACTGACACCAAGTATTATGGAGGAAGTCGAACAGGTCTTAAAGAATCAACCGATGAAGCCCTACGATTGGACAACAATGAATTAGATTCATTTTGTATCAATAACGACGTTCCGATCAAATCTTGAATTCCTAGTTTTTTGACAAAACAGAACGTTGTTAAGTTGTTATCATGAAAAAAGTATGTCTGAATGCTTTTGACATGTAACAAAATAAAGTTTCCTCATCCGAACAGCAACACGGGGCGTATTCTTCTAGACGATCATTCAATTTGAAATTTTCAATCAAAGTTAATTTGCACATCAAAAGGTTTATAAGATACATATATCTTCGAGTAAATAGAACAAAACTGTTCAAATCAGTACATTAACATAAATCTCGCAGATTGCTCTCTACTATTTGGATATCATTGTTTGACCGAATTAGCCGAAGATTTTTACTGAACAGAATGTATTTAAGACTAAAAATCATGACATTTGGTAGATATAAACGACAAGTTGTTGGCAACATTCGGTATTTGATCGGCTGTTTTTCCTGATGATCTATATTCGATTTGTTCTTGGGAAGAAGCGTTGAAAACTTGTAAACAATTCATCGGTCTAGAACAATGTATTGATTTGAAAGATCAACTATTATCCAACATCAATGCATCGATTACTGATGATTGAGACATTAAAGGTGAATTTCCTCGGGTATCTAAAAGGCGGTTTAACTTTTGTTGTAACCTTTGAACCTTATTTTCGAAATTCTTGTCATTGATATTCCGTAAATTGATGATCAGTAAATTGCTGGTAACTTTATCTAAACATTTGGATCGAATTCGTCAAATCAGAATAGAGATTGTCAATTCGAACTTACTAAGCCAACCAGAAGATTTTCAATTAGGTAGAATTCGACAAGCAAGTATCCGTATACCTTCGCTTTTCGCGAACTCGACGTCTTGTTGACAACGTTGCGAAGATTCGTACATCGGTGTCATGAAACATACGAGACCAGTGATCTTTTCTCGAACACTAAGAAATGAAAAATAAACCAATATTTTTGTTGCTGAAAATACCTGTTATATTGATCTTTGTTGATTCCGTTTTCAACATCAATTCATACAGGCAAATTTTGACCCTTTAAGTACTGATAAACTTTGAAAACAAGTTCTTGATGATTTTTGTGATAAAGAATGTGGAAATGACGCCGTATGGCTAGAGAAAAAAGAAAGTTTTTTGCTTGATAACGAAACAATCACAGAACTTGATATTAACTCAACAACAGTTCGTCTTTTTGTTAATGCACTGAGATATTTTTATAAATTTTTCTCATCTCAAATCATCTATGATATAAAGAAAAGAAAAGTTTTCAAACAGAAACACATTGAATTTTTGATTGAGTCGTACGAAGAAGGTAATTGTCTGCATAGAATGTTCAATACTGATAGTGTGTGTTGTCTCTCGTGTCATCAAGGCATAGTCAACTATCCACCTGCTAATTTTATTTGCTAAGAAAAAGAGAAAATGTTATTATGCTCAAAATTTTGTGTCAGTTGTATCCTGTTTGCGTCATAGAAACACAATGAGTTGGTCTATATTTTTGTTTCCAGCTTTATTTGTATCATAATTTCCTCAGTCAGGTATTCTGCTGTTATATACGCTGCACAACATTCTGAAAATAGTTTTAACGAATGACGGTAACTTATCATGTTTTCTCATGAAATATTTTGTCGATTTTCTCTTTAGTCTCAATCGTCAGATCTCATTCCGACTGATTCAATAACTATCGTCAAAACACGAAAATCGTATAAATTCAACAACACGAGGTAAAGAGTTATCTAAGTGGGAAAAAAACAGTTGATATTCAAATTTAGCGAGTTAAAATTTCCGAGAATAAAACTCTTGTGGCGATCGAAGCTTTCGATTTTATACCTAGGTATCGATTTATATGTCATAGGGTCGACGATATCGACGACTAGTCTTGTAATTAATTTGTCAACAACAACAACTACATTCGAATTTTGTAATGTTGCCAATTGTCGCGAAGTGGTTTTGTCTTATATTCCGCGAAAATGAGCTTTCGATACGACCAAACTCGGAGAATGCGTTGGATGTCCAGCTATGACGAACTCGAAGGTAGATAGTGGGTGGTCTACGATGTGGATAGTCGAGAATTTTTTCATCGAACATTCACTTCAGCAAGATTCAGACGCACGCCGATTCGTTGGTGATGTGAAATATTGCGAACGGCACTGTTTCTGTCGTGCAAAATGTATAGGATTTTCGAGAGTGAAAAGTCTCTCTTCAGATGAAGTCGATACCTGTTGGTTTATCAATAGTACGAAGTCGAACAAAACATACAATCGTACGGAATGGCACACAATACTTTTCAAAGATGTATCCTGAACACATAGACAAGGATGAAAAAGCTGTCTTATTTTATTTCTACATTTTTCGAATAAAATATCAGCAAATTCACAGAATTCTATTTTTTAACTGATACTAGTATTCATTCTTAGTCACTTTCTTATATTCTTGCGCAATTATATAAAACCAACTAGTCGCCGAAAGACGTATACTGTTAGCACTACATATAAAGAGAGAATAACAAAAGATAAATACTGCATACATTTCATTCTGTGAGAAAACGAAAGAAAAATAGCATGACGTCATCAATCTCAAGTAAATGGCTCGTTCCGGACAAATTACCAAATGGACTGAAGTTTCAATGCTCTACAAGTCTTGGTAATCTCGTCTCAACAAATTGTGCTGCTCTGTTCTTTCGTCAACTTGTGAAATGTGTCGAAGAAGAACATAATTTGATCAATTATCATTTCAAAATCCAACGTCATCGAAAGAAAACTGATCACATGGAAGTGTTTGTCTTTGCTGGTGACGATCAAACAAAACAAGAAGCAAAATCAGCTGCTGTTTGTAGTTCGTGTGACGTAGAACATGAACTAAGTCAAACAACATTGTTATCAGAACAGAAGTATACTTATTCATGGTTGGATTCTCGTAATCGACCGAAACTTATTTTAACTCCAAAACGACATATCGAACGGTTATGTGAATTGAATGATGAAAATGGTGAAATAGAAGCATTTTGGCGAGATGCAGTTGAAGTCATTGATCGAGAATGTGGTAATGTTAATGAACTCAATTATCCCTTATTGGCCATCAATCATGGAACATTTCGAAAACATGCACATTTACATTTGAAAATCGATGTGACGAAAGATATTTGGGAAAACGTGATTATACCTCGACATCGAGATAAAAATTAATCGTTTGAAACAATTATTAAAACAAGTCGAGTTGGTAAAAGATTGTTTTACTAAGGAACATTTGGAAAAAGAAATACAAAAAGGTGTTATTAGAAATTAGGAAATGTGTCTTTTTCCTTGTTTGTTTGAAAACATATTTGAAATAAAAATTTATAATAAGTATGTATGTGCTATGATGATTCTCAGAACGACAAATAAGGATGTTTGCGTAGAACACAGAGTTATATCTTCATAGAGATTCACAATGTACCTGATTCTCGCCGGACTGAATGTCAAAATCTCATTACCGTGTTCAGATCATGTCAGTTAAAAAAAGATGAATGATATGTTCCATGACGACATATTTGCCTGAATAAAAAAACAACAACATGTGTTATCAAAATTCTGTTTATTATTAAATTCTACAGAAAATATTTAATGAAAGACAAAAGTCCATTATTATTCCTAATGAATTCAACACTTTTATTTTCTTCTCTAATCATCATTGCAGTTCATTCTCTAACTGTTAGTTTCATTCATCATTTTCCTGATTACACTCTTATACATAAACTAATCGCCCAATCTACTTTAAGATGATCTTGAACGTTGCAAATCAACTTTGGCAAAAGTTTCTTCGAGTAAATCTTTTCAAGAAATCTGATAGCACAGAGCAAACTCTTCGGAAAGAACTAATTGCAACTCGTGTCTATATCTGCTTGTTCATCACTTCTCTAATCATAATTACAATAATAACTGCCTTTATAATGCGAACAATTGAAACAACTGAATCTCAACCATCATACACGCGATTTATACAATTAGCAAAACAATATCCAAGTACAATACAATGTCCCTGTTCAAAATACTCGATTAGTTACCAAGCTTTTGTGACAACTCAAGTTCGATTTCATCCTGTTTGTTCAAGTCGATTTATTGAACAAACATGGTTTGATATGACATTCATGAATGAAGATATCTCAGTGCAATCGATCGATGATTTTCGTGTTACACTAAGTTTCTTTTGGCAAACTGTCGGAGGACTATGTAATGCAAGTCGAGCAAGTTGGGAAAGTGCCGTTGCAAATTTTCAAACATCAAATATTCTCAGTCCGACAGCCATTGCCGAAGAAACGCTTCGAGCTCAAGTACAAGCAGAATTTCAAAATCAAATCGATTTGTCTCAATCAACAATAATTCGAACTTTATTCGCTATTCGTCGTATGGCAAGTGGAAATCAGATTGTGTCCGGTCTACAAACGAACTATTACCTAAAATTTTTCTCGCGCTCTGATATTCGAATGGCTCCTCGAACGTTTGGGAATTGTTCCTGCACAAATATCGAAGGTTGTCCACGTCCAGCTATCTTCAATGATAGTCAAGGTCATTTGATAATTATACCAGGAATGATCATGGACTGCTTGATAATCGAAGCGACACTCGCATCAACACTCGAATGTTATTATAATCAAACATGTATTTCTCTTTTACATCAATCATTACCTATATATATTCAACCACTATCAAACAGTTCACTAAAACGTTTTTCTCCAAGATCAACGATAGAAGACATCTTCAATAAACTGATGATTGAAGAGATACAAAGTGATGTGAAATTTAGCGTATACTATTCTCAATGTAACCCTCAATATTGTTCATATTCATATACACGTCGTTTTCATGCTGCTTTTATCGTTAAAACGATCATTGGTATTGTTGGTGGACTGTCGTTCGGATTGAGATCATTTGCTCTTTTGATTGTAATGATTATATTATATCGAAGGAATCGCGTCGCACCGAATCTCAACATTGCAAAAAGTGAAGCAACACCACAACGTCCAGGTAAGTTATATTTCAATTCATTCACAACATATAAATGATTTAGAGCTTAGTTCACGTTCTATACAATTATATTCAACACATACCAAGACACATTAGAGCATTAGTCACTTCACTGAATGTATTCGAAAGCACGAGACCACATACTGCAACAGAACTCTTTCGCGAACGACTGTTAACCAAAATCTTTATTTTTCTGCTTATTATCTCTTCACTTGGTGCTGGGTTTTATATATTTCTTACTAAACAAAATCAGTTAATAATAATATCAAATCCATCTCTGTCTACTTATGAGCAGTTATATAGTGATTATTCAACAGCATTACAATGTCCCTGCTCACAAATATCTGTTCCATATAAATCTTTCATGAATGCAACATTCGTTCTACATCAAGTCTGTTTCAGTGATTTAGTCTCATCGGAATGGATATCGTATGTGAGATTATTTGATCCAACCACTGCTAAATTCATATCATATAAACGTGAAGGTGTTTTTGATTTTCGAGTAATGGGCTTTAGTTATTTTCAATTTTTATCTATTTTTTGTTCAATGGTTCAAACTAACATTGCTGATGCACAACATGTTTTTACTACTACTCAATTCATCAATGATCGTGTTCTTTCTCGATCAGATTTTCATCAAAAGACTCAATCAATACTGGATTCATTTATCGAAGCAACTCGTGACAATTTTGTACGAACAATTGATTGGATCGATATTGCATTTATTGCTGGTCAATTTTTTAACGGAGCAAATATTATCTTCGAGATGAATCTCGACATTTATGATCAACTAAGGATTCGATTTGCTGCACATCCTCAATATTCAACTTTCTCAGCTACAGGAGGTTCAGGCGGCGCCGTCTGTTCATGTACCGATGTTTTAAGGAACTGTTTACTTCTACCTCTGTTATTCACAAATGCATCCTATTTCGGTACCTTTCCACTGACTTACTTATTCCGAGTGATCACAGTAGGCTGTGTTCCTCTGACTGGATTTCTTAAGTCGAAGATAGGTTGGTGGTATGATAGTACCTATCTGAAAGATATTCAAGAAACCTATTCGCTCGCCATTCAATCGCCAAGTTCGCCAAACATCAAACCTCTCAATGCATCAATTCCCAGTCGCTTCGGTGATGTCAAAACGGAAGATTTATTGCTTGAACTGTTCTCCGAAGCAGCAATCAGTAACAATTCATATTTCGACCAATTTTACTATGAATGTGCACCTAAATCTTGTTCATATACCAATGTACAACGCCGTAATGTGCTAGCATCATTCCTTCTTCTTATCGCCATATGTGGTGGTTTGAACGCAATCCTACGAATACTCGTACTGTTATCCGGTAAACTTTTGTTCCACTGTATTGATTGGTGGAAAGAACGTCATCAACGACATGGTGAGAGTCTTCGACTGAAACGTTCAACATCAGTGTGAAGCTAGCACGAAGGAGCGAGCACGAAGAAACTGTGTGTAAGCTAAAAACGTTTTTCCGAAGTTTGTCCGGTGAATAAAAATACCACTATTCGATGCAGAATTAAATTCTGAATCGAATGGACTAGGTTTTATGAACCGAACAAACTTTGGAAAAAAGTTTTTAGCTTACACACAGTTTCTTCGTGCTAGCTGCTTCGTGCTAGCTTCACACTGATGAATGTTACTGGTAATACTGATTCACAAGATGAAAGTCAAGAAATTGTCAGTGTTTCGTTTCTCTTTTCACATTCGTTATTTATTCTTTTCTGGTTATTTAGGACAGTCAACAAAATAATGACATTGATTCATGTTATACGCAAGGCGATAAAGAAGATGAAGAAGAAGAAGAAGATGATGATGATGATGATGATGATCGCAAATCAACTAGCGAATCAGAAGATGATAATTCTTTGATAATATATGAAGATAATTTTCAAATAGGAATCAATACTGATTCAAACGAAGATGAAGGTTTATCAGCAGGGAAACCAGATCATCGCATTCAATTAGTCATAGAAAGTTAGTGTTTATTCTCTGTTATTCCACAGGGATTTTGTTCCTTTTTTGAGTATCTATTGGCGTCATTCGTGTTTGTTTTGTTACCATAGAAAGCCGACATTTAATCAATATGATACAAGACTGTTCAATTTTATCATCTTTCTTAAATAAAATAAAAGAACAACACAATCAAAATAATATAAATAAGCAGACCAGACGATCGTTAGTTATTGATGTACGCACTCGTTGGAATTCGACTTACAAGATTCTTGAAACATTGAATATGCATCGAAGTTTGATTAATGAATTATTTCAAAACAAAACAAATTTGAATATAACAAAGCAACAGTTGCATAGACTTAGTTCTTACGAATTTAGTAGTGATTGTTGGCATACGGTCGAAATGCTCATAAAAGTGCTCAAGCCTTTCTACAGGGGAGCGAAAGTTCTTAGTGGTACAGAATACTCGACAATTGGAATTGCTTTCTATATATATATATTGTCGGCTTAAAAAAGAATTTCTATCTGTTTGTGGTCCAACAGATGACCCACTATTAGTTAACATGAAAAGATGTTTATTGAAGAAGATGGCCTATTACGATTTGCAAGATTCTTTACAATCAAAAGTCATCCAAGTAAGTTGTTATTAATAATAATGAATCATTGTTCATGAGCGCAATTTTGTTTTCCTAACTCCAGTTTTACGCATACCTCGATTCTTATGGTATGTCTGTTATGTCAAATAATGAAATCAATTTGGCTGAACATGAAATCAAACAGAAACTTCGTCATCAATCATCAGCAACAACAACACTAAATTCGAACAGTGCTTGAATACCAATAGTAATTCATTCACGAAAGAAAAAAAGTCCAAAAAATCTTTGATCGATTATTTTGTTGATTCATTGGATGGCGAAGACGTTAACGATCACCCTCACTCATCTACAACTATAACAAAAGTATTGAATGAAGAATTTAAAACGTATAAAAAATTAGCTGCTCAATTTGTATCAACGCCAGTCGATCAATATGATCCGCTTTTGTTTTGGAAACAGCACTGTTTTGCATTACCAAATTTAGCAACATTAGCTCAAAAGTATTTAGCTTCTCCTAGCACTAGTATTAAATCTGAATCAGCATTTAGTATTTCTGCGTACTACGGACGTAAGCAACGTGCTCGTCTTTCTTCGGATAATCTTAGTTATTCTGTATTTCTCAAAGATAAACTATCTAGTGAAGGTAAATAAAAACGTTGACAATCAGTTCATGTGTAGGAAAACTTGTCTTTTTTGTATTTTTGACCACTATTGTTGGGTTACTCATGTATTATGTAATAAAAAAGAATTTTCTCGTGTATCAGAAAATAAATACAAACGAAAAAGGATTTCTCTTTCATAAAAGATTTTTCACGTAGAGAAGTTCAAAAATAATTTAATAAAATATCTCTATCGTTTTTCGCGATCGTGGCACTTTAACTGTAAGATTCAGTTTGAATCTCACTGGACATATCTTATTGCTTTGCAATTTCTGAATGATTATAATGACTTACATCGGAACTTCATACAAAAACATTCCAATATTGTCTAATGAACAGTCAATGAGTCGACATTTTAGTATGAAGATCTAAACCCGAAACATCGAACTCGAACGTTCGGGTTCGGTGCATGCCTACCCGCTAGTTTTCCACTATATATACATGCGAGATATCACATATATCACATAAAAATTTCATTCATATCTTTGCACACAGGAACGGAGCTCTTTTCAATCCATGCTGCGTCGAGAACTCCTTATTTCTACTATGTTAATTATAATGACGCGCTACGAGGTATGTATTCTCATCATCTTTACAACATACTATCGAAGAAAAATACTTTTCCTTCCAGACATACAATAAAGAGTATCTAGCGTTTATTCATGGGGTTTAGTTAAACTGATACAGCCAACCGAGATATGTTGTCTGACATAAAATTCATTATGGTTGAAAATCATTTCTATGCCATCATATGATGAAACTCGATAGAAAAATTCACTTTTTCTCATGTCAAACACTATTTTTACTCTTACAGAAACCTTAGCCAAGGTTTTTTCTTTGATAATTTAGCATCAGATGATAGAACTAATTGAGATCTATCATCTAATATAAAATTCATAGTAGTTTATAATGGAAAAAAGTAATGGTTACTTAGTTATGTGTATGGTATTATATGGTCAGATACTCACGTTTCGGCATGAGGTTTACATAATGACAAGTCCGTAAGAACATACAAGATTTGCATGATTTCAGTATAAAACAACTCAAAACATGGTTTATGATAAGTTTTTGAAGGAAAGATGAAAGTTTTCTAGGGGGCCGAATTCACATCTTAACGTCCGCCGTCCTTTCTTTTATCTTGTACGTGCTACCCGTAAAATGCGAAAGAACGCAAAAGTAACTTGAGAGATTTTTTATATGATCGCAAAAAATGACTCTATTATAGACAAGAGTGTAGCTTCGGAACTTCTTAGTTTATTGAAAAATGAAAAGTTACACGCGTAGAAAAACACTCCTCTCGTTGCTCTCTGTTCATGCTATCACGCGTACATATTTGTATGCCAAACGTACAAAGAAAAAGTGGATAGATATCACAGGAACAAAGGAAGATATCACTAATACAAAAGATCTAGGAAGAGAGAAGAGAGAGAAAAACCGTATATGTATATGAGAGAGATGTCGCCTATAACAGACTCACTATGTGACGATACAAAGAAGAGAACAATGAATAATCAGTGGAAGATAATAAAAAGGCAATAAGCGCATTTTTTAGAAGTTAACTGTTAACAAGAATATATATTTCGAAGATTTTCCCCAAAACAATGAATCGTAATGAATGTGTTAATATTTATTATAAATAAAACTTAACTTTATATTATTGAATTTAATTTACTTCTTTTATTATTTGAATTTCTTACAATTAAATGAAAAAAAAACTAGCAAGAAGAAACAACTTAAAATTATAAAAAAAAGTATCTACTTTAAATGATTATATAGAAAAAAGAAAAATCTACTACAAAAAGGATCACTTATAAGAAGTTCACCTGTAAAACGCCTGTTTTGCTAAAGTAATAATCAGATAATATTTCGCATTTTTGTTTTTACATGGCTATATATCTAGTAATAATGTTGCAAAACATGAACATCGGAAAAAGTAGAAAAAAAAGAAATTTTTATAGATAAATATCTATTATTCGAAAAAAATTTGTTTTACCTTTTATCGATGATACGGTTGATTTAAAGGTACACTTGACATACTGTAAGGAGCGACATAGTTAACCATGGACACTGTCGCAGTAGGATCGCGTGGAACTGGAGGATTTGCAGCTGAACTGTTTGTTATGGTTGTTGAATTGCCACCATTTGTACCTTGGTTTGTTGTTGTTGAATCACCACCAGATGCACCTTGGTTCGAAGATTGATTCGTACTGGTGTTCGCCGGTAAGTTCCTTGTTTCAGTTGTTGATGGACCGCTACATGCCGTACTACTTTCATCGGAGGTAAAACTGCTGGAAGATGAGCTAGTTGTTGATTTATCAGAACTCATGAAAACTAAAAGAACCGAAAAATATCAGCTTTATATACAGTAAATTCTTTGAAAATATAACTAAATAAAAAGAAGGAGTGATATTGAATAGCAATTAAACGGAAGAATATCGATATACAAGAACGAGAAAAGAATAAGAGTACAACTAATATAATCAGTGAGAAGCTAGCACCACGGAGTTAGCACGAATACTCCGTGGTGCTAGCTGCACACTGATACTAATATAGATATATAATTTTCATTCTTTTGTTAATTTTATTTTTTGTATATCGCTTTAGTTCTCTCTCTAGTGAAAATTATCAGAGGAGTAATTTGTCTTTGTTTGAGTATCTGTTGATTTCCTCTATGCTGTTTATTTATTATAATCTATTCTTTCTTCTATTTATCAAGTACTGACATATGTTTGTTCTTTTCTCTTCCTTTTCTTTTCGAAATATTCCTGTGCAATACATGCAAAATTAATCCTTTTTAATCATACTATACGAAACAAGTAACGCTCATCCTTTGGATTCGCTGACCCTTTTCTGAAAGACTTTTCCGAATGCTGAACACATTCAGAGACTTCGAAAGAGAAAAAACGCACTGCGATTGCTACTAGTGCTGAACTGAATCATGGCACTATGTCACACACTAGAATGAATAGGANATTTTTAAAACGGTTAAATTTAAACGCCATTCATCTTTCATTATTATTCGATGAGAAAAATAACGAAAGATTGATAATGAACAATAACGTAAATCTAATTTTTTATAAAGACCACAAAATTCTAATAACATATAATTAATTCTTGTATTAAGATTAGAAAAACTATAAATAACGTCCACCAATGATAATTGATCCCAAATACATAAGAAAAGTTCATTTGATATATCTTCTAATTTCATATTTTTTAATCATTAAATATTGAAAAATGTGTTGTTTAAGTTACATTAATAATAACAGAAGATTATTTTAACATGATGATGTTTTATAAATTTCATCTTTCAAATCAATAAATGAAACGAATTTGTTTCTATGTGACCGATAACGATATGAATAGAACAATGAATACAATCCATTACACCTGTTGACCAATAAAATACGTTCATTATTATCTCATTGTATTTAAAATGATCATCATTTTTTCTTTTTTTGAGAGTGGAATAAAGTTGAATTCTTTTTTCCTCAACTTAATTAGTTTTATTTATGTCATTATGGACAGTAATGGAAGAATAGATAATAAATGTAAGAGAAGTTGGTCGGAGATTCGATCTTTCAAAAATACGATTCGTTCTACCTGGCGTGCCAACTGTTCTTTGTCGTGTGCCAGATAGAACTCAACGAGCTCTATCGATTCCAACGTATCTCTTCTCAACAAGTACAATAGTAAAACCTGTAGTCATCGCAAAGTCATTTTTTCCCATGGGGACAATTTCACAAAAACTGTATTTCTCAAAACTATTCGCTTTCTCAGTCTAAAACCTGCAAAAAGTCACGTATTTCGATGCATCTCGACTTGCTCCATCCAATAGTGTGTTCATTCGCACCATTTAACTCATAGTTTCCATGAAATCGACTGAAAACCGCCCAAAATCACCTTTTCTCGTGTTTTTCATGAATAGATTCGCTCGACGACCTGTGCCATTCACCAAAGCGATTCCATTCGATTCAGAATGAAAAGCTCTAACTAATGAGGTATAACTCGATGTATCTGAGTCAATAATCTAGACTTAATATTTCTTAGTACTTGTACACAGATGTTGGAACACTATGGACACAATTTACCATATACACATACATGCACAATCAGCAGAAATTTCGAAAGTCGATGAAATCTCACATATTTCCATCACTGGAAACGAGATTTATCGTCATATTCCATTCGTAATTGTTATTGATATGCAGAAAATTTTCTATAGCACGTGCGCGTGAAACGCAGTAGTGCTTAGATTCTAACTCGATACTTCTATGAGAACGCATCTGTTCAATTTGGTGCCTGTGTCAATGTTACTCTAGCTGTCCTCGCATCGTATACTTCCTAACTAGTCCTTATGCGAAACGACCATCACCAGGTTTATGTGTTTATTACCCGTCCATTCTTACCTTCCAAGACGGTTTTGAGCTGTCTTCATTATTCAGAACTTGTACAAAATATTCATGGCAGAACATGTGCCTAAGCTGAAAGGCATACTATTCGATAGATCTCGTCGAGTTCTATCAAATGACATCAAGCTCACTCCTATATGTACTGTCCGTTGAGACACCTGATCAGAAAAACTCAACAGGTGTACATAGACTAGCATATCGATCTCATGAATTCGTTTATCAATGTGTGCCAACGTAGATATATACACCATTCGATAGAGCTCGTTCAGATCTATCGAAAGAGGTGTCACACAGTCCTACCTGTCGCCTTTTCCAGCATGAAGTTTCAACAACTCAATGTGTGCGTTGCTGCTCAAGTACATCTGCACCTTTCCAGATTCACGAGATAACGTGTGCCAAAAGCGATCTTTACATCAATCGATAGCTCTCGTCGAGTTCTTTGATCTCTAGTACAAATATACGCTGCTGCTTCAGATTTTGCGTCTCAGTGTGTCAAAAACACAAGTTGCGTGCCTGATGAAAAGGATATAATTTATCTGTTCACCATGCCAGGTGTGCCTTAACTGAAAGACGCATGGCTGGATAGTCCATCGTGAGATCGATCGGATGGTGTGTCATTTGCTGTTTTCCGTGTTGTTCTATGACACACAGCATGCTTAGATTACAATACACACCTTCCGCTCTGAATTACTCATTCTTCTCACTCATACTCAAATGCGTGCCAACATTGAAATGCATATTACTCGATCGATCTCTCCGAGCTCTATCGAACGAGATATGATCGAGTAGTAATTGTATGATTATCTTCATGCTATTCATCCCAAGATACCGACAACTTCGCCTACATTTGACAATTCACTCCTTTGATTCAGGTAAGTGTATGTGCCAACATTGAAACCTTCTGAATTTGATGAATCTCATCGATTTCTATTTCTTCGTGGCTAATTTTCTTATATTTGTCTCACTGTTTCAATTATAGGACGTTAGCCATGGAATGTATGTGTATGATTGGTACTTTTTACCTTTCAGATTAGTATTCACGTATGTGCCAGCCTTGGCGAACATAACCACCGATGGTCATGATTCTGTTGAATAGACTTTCATTGATCATCTTTTATATAGCTATGAAAAGATCAAAACTTTAAAGATTACATTTGGCTGACTCATGACGGTATTGATAAGGATACAGATATTTTGTGTGCTATCGATTCAGATGATATTGTTTACGACTAATGATGAAATTACTTTAAAAAATTTTGTTTGCTCAATGATGAAGTGGATGATGACGAAAGTTCACCAAATGATAGTATATATACTAAAACTTCAGTCAGTGAAGAAGAACCTATTTATTATTGCCTATGTTTACGTTAAGACGATTACATGCGGAAAAAAGTAAATACAGTGATAAAAAGAATAAAATATGAAAACTGAAACATGGATTTGATTGCATTAGCATTCGATGGTAATGTAGTGCTATTGCCAGAAGTCGTTGAGGTAACTGTACTTGATCCAGAAGTGGTCGTAGAACTTGTGGTAGCGCTAGTGCTCGGCGTTGAAGTAGATGATGCACTTGTGGTGGAACTTGTGCTAAGTGTTGAAGTCGAACCAGCACCTGTAGTTGTGCTTGAGCTACAAACAGAAAGTAAATGGTGTCGTCGACAACACAATTAAATCATTCTTCTAGAATACCTTTGAGCGCTAGTTGCAGACGAAGATCCGGTAGATGCAGTTGAAGTCATCGTACTTGACGATGATGATGGTTCACCACTGTAAAATACATAAATAAGTATTCGATTACTTGCGTGTTGTTTTACTTACGATGACGTACATGTTGTTTGCATATCTGACTTGCCTGCTGTGCAAAGTGGATAACGTTGTTTGCAAGCAGAAAGGCATTTCATATCATCACATGATGCAATATCTAAGTGAATTGAGCCAAGCTCATTTGCTTTGCATGCCGATTTTTTCGATGAAATACAACAGGTACATTTGCAATCAACACCAAATCCACTGGCAAAAGTGAAATTTACACAGCAGACGACAATAAGAACAGCAGATAAAATAGGAGACATATGCATTTTGGTATATGTTAGAAAAATAAGCTTTTCGATGAACGAAATTTTATGAATTTTGTACTTGCTTTTATACGTTTGTTATCTCGATGTGATATACGAAATAGTTATCTTTGAAGTTTGGAAGACACGCACTTTGCTAGAAGTTTAACATGATAGATAAGATTCTTGATATGCTTGGACTTTGATTGTAAACTAAGTATTCATATCGAAGTTAAAGTCATCTCATTATCTAATGTATCATGATATAACTATGATTTTTGTACATTTCATTTCCTTTTATTAAACATATCAAAACGAAAATACTTTCAAGAATGATACAGATAAGACCTTTGTCTTCGATAATCATTGAATGGGAAAATAAACTGTGTACGTTTGATTGACAATTTCATACAAAGGTAAAAACTGAATTCTTGTTCCATCCACCGATGTTGTTTCAAACAGTAAGATTTCAGAAGATGATCGCTGAATTCTTCGGATAAGATTCACATCGTTAAATAAAACTTTTGCTTGCTTAGTTAATCCACCGAGAACAATTGGTCCATATAGGATTGAAACTAATTGTGGATTGTCATTAATTGATTCGAAATGAATGTTCATCGCCATTTTGTAAACGATTTCATCGTTCGGTTTCCAGTTGAGTTTCGGAAGTTGAATGTAAGTTGAAGGAATAAGATCGAGTTTTTGACGAAGATGATTGATTTCAATCCAAGATTCGTTGAGAACAATCCACGATGGTACACGTAAGTTGATAGTCATGTGAACCTCATTGAATGAAGTGTTTATTGTGAAGTTCGTTGTTGATTCTCTTGGAAAAGCAGTTAATTGTCGGAGAACGAAGTTCTTATCTGTCCAATTTACTTCAGACGAAACAAATAGATTCACATAAATCGATGAGTTTTGACGAAAATAAATCGAATCACTCATTTTTGTCCATTGATCAATAGCTGTTGTATAACAACACCAGAAACTATCGAACTGTGTCCCATATCCAACATCTCCACCTCCGACCGATGTTGGTTTACTTACACCTTCACCCAATGGGTAACTATACAACATATGACCGGGTTCTTCTGGATTTTGTGTACCCCAAATACTATTCACATAGATCCGTTCGTACGAATTTGCGTATTGAACTTTTCCTGTCCATTGAATTAACATCCGTATCAAGCGTAACATATTATACTGAACACAAAATTCTTGATTGTTATTCCAGAGTGTTTGAGAAAGAAGATTTGGATCACTATAATGCTCTTGTTGATCGAATCCGACAGAGCCATTCCCTCCATTCGAACCACCCGTCGAATACGTATGATTATTCCATACTAATGAATAGAAATTTTCTATGATAGATCGATACTGTTGTTCACCTGTAATGGAGTATCGTCGACCACTACCAATCACAGGTGGAACATGTGAATTTGCATGTACACCTGTCAGAAAATCCATGTTCAATGCCAGAGCTCCAAGAAATTGTCCATCATCGAATTGTTGTGCCATCCAAAAGAACCGTTGATCACTTGTTAATCCATATTGTTCATATAGAAACTCACTAATACCACCATATTCATAATCTAACGTACTGAATATCATAGCATGCCAATGTGATGTTGGATAAGTGTTCATACAATGAATCATCCATGTATATAAATAATTCAACATATCGTGTACCATTTGGCCAGCTAGTGTTAATCCAGTTAAGGTATACATATCTGAAAGACCACGAAGCAGTTTTTCGTAACAATAAATCGGTGCCCAAACTTTCTCTAAACGTTCTAATTTACGTAGATGTTCCGATGGCCATGCTGCGAGAAATCCGGATTCATTCAAAAGCTTTTGTACACGATAGAGTTGCTCAACCAAATATTGTGCTTTGGACAACTGCTGAGTATTATTATATGCAAGGTATGCTTTGGCAGACGCTTGTAGATAAAAAGCGAGAAATACACCACGAATATCACTCGTTGGTGATTCCCATCCACCGAGTGGTTCAATACCTTCGACACTTAGATTTGCATTGACATAATAGGTATACAACAAGCGATCTACGGGTAAAAGATCTAAATAGGCCTGATTCAATTGTTGACCAGCAAGACTTGGCGAGTGAATCGAATTGATCAGATGAACTTCTTGTAAATAGAATGGAAGAAATTGATTTGGAACATTATCGACAGTTGATGATGGAACTGCAGCCGAGTGTAAAGAGTGTACGAACACAAGAAAAGTAAAAATAATCATATACTGCATGATATGTTGAATCAAATGAAAAGCAGTATTCAACTCCTTATCTTGCATGTGTCCTGATAATATAGACTCGTTATTTTCTCTTCTATTTACAACATAATGAATATCAGAATCTTGAGGGCGTGGGTGTCAGTGAGGATGACGGTGTGGTTCCGGTTGTCTCATAGTTTTATGTCCACCATACTATCTCTGAAACTTGATATAAAGCCGCCCTCTATCGATTTGTTGGTAAGTAATTCCTAAACTCTAGGGGTTATTTCCGTGAATTGGCAGTGATGCTTATAACGCACTAATGATTGATAAAAACCTATTTAAATTGCTCAGATAAGTAGTATATATAACAGTTTTTCAAAACAAAATAATATACTGATTATTTAAATACAACCCTTTATAAAAAGACCATCCATTGAAAAAATTGGCAATATTGATTTATTATACAAAAAATAAAAAACATTATACTTTTCTAGTTTCAATTTCATTTAAAAGATATCGTTTTTCTCGATAAATCTTCCATACAAACTCTCCAAATAGACTATTTGCCCACGCAAACCACGGCCGTGTAAATTGCGTTGGATCATCAACCGAAATGGCTTCATGCATATAACCCGTATTCGAATGCGATTTTTGTAACATTCTTAAACATGAACGTATCTCCTCATCATCATTCGACGTTAGTCCTCGCATTATAATCGCTAACGGCCATACAGTTCCATAACCTATATGTGGTCCGCCGACACCTTCGAGAATATTTCCCCTCATAAACCAAGGATTATCTTTACTGAGTACGAATTTTCGAGTATTTTGATAAATGGAACGATTGAGAAAGAATTCAGTTGGACATAGATAAGGTAATGAAAGTAAAGAAGGAATATTTGCATCATCCATCGCTGCTTTGCCTCCAAAACCATTGCTTTCATAAAGATAAATCAGACCGTGTTTTGGATGGGTCATTGTTATGATATCACTATTTTTTATGCCGAAGAGAACACTACGTAAATCGGTGATTAAATTGTTGATATCGAGGCGAAACTCATCTGCCCAATTTAAACTATTGGTCAGATTTAAGAGTTGCTTTAATGAATGATAAGCAAAGAATTGCGCCGGAATCAAATACGGGTAGATTTGAAGATCATCACTTGGTCGAAAATATGAATAGATTAGACCATTCGGTCGAGCTTGATTACCACGAGGATCAGATGGAGCACCTTGCCGTTGAAAACGATATGATCCTAACGAAAAGCAAAATGTCATTTTATTGGAATAAATATTAAGTTAGTCAACAATGAATATTGGAAGAGCATTTGTTTTTCAAATACTAATTTACCTGATCCATTATATCTTTGTTGCAGTTTGAGTGTGTCAACAATGATCCGTATTGTTTTCTTAAAGTCGCTTTCATATTTACGAAAAAATGTGGACTCGTAATCGACTTCTTTCCAATACGAGAACATCAATCTTATAACATAACAAAGTGAATCCAATTCCCATTTGCGTTCGTGTACACCATCATTCATATCGGTATCATCTACATATTTCCATTCACTAATTCGATCGAGAGTTTTATAAAATGCATTCGCATATGGATCACGTTGAATACAGATTAATTGTCGAAGTAAAACACCTTCGATTAATAGACGAAGATTCGCATCATGTTTCATTAGTGGTAAATACGGATGAACTTGTGCACTTGAATCGCGTAACCACATGGCATCAATATCACCTGTGATAACATACGTATCCGGACGATTATTGTCCGTTGTGTTGAGAGTAAAGTCGACAGTTGTATCGAGAGTATTTGGAAAACAATTTTCGAATAACCATGCAAGTTCGGTATTTTTGATATTTCGTTTTACTTNATATCACCTGTGATAACATACGTATCCGGACGATTATTGTCCGTTGTGTTGAGAGTAAAGTCGACAGTTGTATCGAGAGTATTTGGAAAACAATTTTCGAATAACCATGCAAGTTCGGTATTTTTGATATTTCGTTTTACTTCGCTGATCAGTGCTTCAACTGCTGAACTGTTGAATCGACGTTTATCGACAGTTGGACGTACGCTAGGGAACGAAATTTTAGGCTCATGAATCAGACTAAATGTTTGTTGTGAAAAATTAGATGATGGATGCAATAGAATACGAATGAATGTTGTGATTGAAGGAACACCAAGTAGAAATCCAATGATGAATAGATATGGTCGACGACGTACCATCATTTAACAAAATAAAACTTCGAAATTCGTAGTTTTTCTATTCTTAATTGAAGTAAATATAAATGCCGATCGAATGTATGTACTATTTTCTTTTACTTTTGTGTCTCGTTCTGTTTTCTTTCAAAATGAAATTCATGTTTGACGTTTTGCGTCTGTCTTTCTCTTTTGTTCAAAGAATTTTAAACGACATTTTACTCGATTCTTCTATACGACATACAGAATGACAAAACCTGCTGAATTTTTATTATTCTTCACGCATAACTCGAAAGATGATCGTCATCGATAGAAATATTTTGCTGATTAACCAAGAAAACAACCGGTTGTTGTTTCATTGGCATCTTTAGAGCATGATATCGTGTTAATTCATCCCGTTCAATGAATTCCAATGGTTCGGTGGAGATTTGTAGCATATTCAATGCATTGATGGCGACTTCAGTTGTCATATTCATGGAACGACTTTGCCGATTTCGATACCGACGGTGGCGGCGTCGACGGCGCTTTCGCGAAGGTCGCTTTTGAATCTCATCGGTTGATGATACGGATGGATAAGATATTGGTTTTTGAAATTTTCGACGTCGTGTCATTAATTTAAACAAATAAAAAAAGAAAAGAAACGAAATTTATTTCCTGTTGACAACGAAATTGAAAACAAAACTGTGGAAAAAAGAATATACTAAATGTGTAAATGGAACAGTGAATATGATTTCTTTTCTGCCCATCAATTCAGTAACCAGCTGTGTTCGTTTCATTGACAAACAATCGAAATAAAACACATCTGACTCGTTTTCTTTTCAGTTTGTAATGTTATATCAGTTATTTCTACTCGGCCTTTTCTTTTCGCAATTCACCATCGTTACATCGACTTTGTTCGCTCAGAATCTCTCATTGGTCAATGTTGATCTCTATCAATGTGATACTAATGACACCATTAGTAATCATACAGTTATTCTGACGAATACAACACTCTATTCATGTAATTTTACCTGTTGTCGACAAAGAAGTCAAACAAGTAACTGAAATGTTCTGATTATCACGTAAAATATAAATTCGTTCATTTCAGATATATGTCAAGTAACAACTTTATCGTCAACTGGTGCTTGTTTTGGTCGTCTTTGTTATTCTGGTGATTGTTCAACTTTGATAGACGGAACATTGTCACAGAATACGAGAAATACCAGTGATATTCTCAATAAAATTCGTTCGTCGATATCGTCTCTCTCTTGGCCAATCTTGCCAAACTCTACGCGAGTCAAATGGATTCAATGGAAAGATAAAAATACTTCATCGATTCGTTCGAGTATCTTAATCATGTTATTAATTACGAATATTTCTTTGACATTATTAACATTATTCGTCATTGTCAGGTCGGTTAAGTATGCGAGATATATTGCAAAGAAAAAAGCACGACGTTATTCACTATTTTAACCTTTCGTTTGTTATTCTTCTTGGTAAAAGAATGAAATAAAGTTAAAATGATTCAATATCGTATGTGAAATCGTTTTATTTCATCGAAACAAGAATATTAATGACAAAAAGAAAACTCTAACAATTCTGTTCAGTTTGTTTTATACTATTCACATCTGCACCCATATCGGAAAGAATCTTTTTCAATTCGTTGACAGTTCCTGGTGACATGGTTTTCTTACGTCTAGAAATATGAGAATAGAACTTCAAGAACACAAAGTTTTCTCTCCTTACGAAAGAAGCCAGATGAATTCGAGTTTAACATCGAGAACTGGAACCGTGCGACAAGCGTAGACTAACGCATAATCATCATAGTTCGTTGTTAACACATTATAATCACCTTTTTCAACTAAAGCAAACAAGGAAGTTCTTATAAAACTGATGAATACAAAGCATCATTTACGTGGATTGTCAAAAGTGACGACAAACGCTGCTGGTTCGGAGGCATTTTTGACTCGTGCTGTTCCACGAATACTGGTATATTCATCAAGCAAATTAACGGCTTGATTCCACACAGCAACCGATCCGTCTGGATTGGGTGAATATGTCGCATTAACACATCGACTTCCGGTTTCAAAAATGATATCACTTCGATAAGCTTCATACCATAAACCAACGTACTAAATCGTATAGATGAAATTGAGAATCTCAATTGAATTCATTTCCACTTACTTTCGTCACATCGAACACCTTTTGTGTGACTATTTTTGGACATTCTTTTGCGAATGATGTGCTGGCCAAGGAAAGCACAACGAAGATGAGAGCGAAGATTTGCATGATAACTAATGTGTTTTTCTGTGGCAAATATCGCACATATTTATAGGTACTTCTTTATCTTCGGACTATGTTACGCAAGCATACTGAGTGTAACAAGGGCGAAAAACAAAAGCATTACACAACCAATAATGGAGATAAGAAGTAAAAGGTACGTAGTAATCTACATCAATATTGACAGACAGAGATGTGCATCTTCAAAGTCCCCGATTCTATTGGTTTCGATCCTATTAATAGCAAAATTTTTGACAAAGCGTTGGATTATTATACATCTGTTGAATTTTCAATGGATTAAAGTTAATTGAAACGGAATTTGCTCTAAACTGAATGCCTCTGTTATTTCAAGAACGCAAATAATCGAATTTTATTTCAAATACATCATATCACAACATCATTTACAAAACATTCATTTACATCTGATATGGAAATTTCGTCTGATATTCATTTCGCCAAGGTTGTAATGGTGCTCCATTACCATCGTAAAATACATTAGCTAAAATTCGAATCCAATCTGTTAACCACCATAAAAATGCCGTAAGACTAATAAGAACATTAACCATATTAACGACAGTGACGATACCTGGATTTTTCTTGGAATATTTAACAATTATAAATGGCCATCCAATTAAACAACCTAGCGATATCAACAATTTCAAAATGCCACCTATGATATAACCAGTCTTTCCTCGCGATAGAAAAAACCAATCACTACCAAATATTCCCAAGAAAAATGAAAGAAGAAACGCTGATAATTTCGTTCTCTGTTCATAATTGCACACATCCATTATTCTCTGCGTGATATATCCTCGGTAACATTGACATACATAACCTTGACAATACCCATGACCGCAGTTGAAATCCGTCATGCACCACCGTCCCCATCGTCGTGAAGCGATAAGATCTGATTTTTGCTCAGGAATAGATCGACTATATCCAAGAAAAAACAATGTAATAAACATAACGATTAGTATCGAAATCAAATAACGCATATTGATAATCAAATCGCGGAACATAAAGAGAAATGAAACAATATTTTGTCAATGAGTTTCGTTGCGTTCATTTCTCTTCCTCTTTCTCATCGTTAGATTCATAACTAATGCCTACTATTTGCATATTGCTGATATTTTATTGATCCTTTGCATGAATTCCACTGTAACATCTTGTCATTCTGATAGAAAGAATGATTATTTGTTATTTATATAGACGATGTATCTTCCTAATTGAACTAAATCCAAAGCATTTATCGTGATTTTAAGCTTTAAAAAAAGTCTAAATTTCTCTTCACTCTTTTCTTTTCACACTATCATGTTTATGTGTGGAATTACAATGAAGTGAAGAGTATTAACCTTTGAATAAATTGAAACGATTGTCAATGAAAACCTAATGGATCGAATAGAGATGACAAGTGTACATTTACTTAAGAGGGACAATCTATGATTTTGCACACCATATACTATTCATGTGATGTGTGATAAATATTTTTAAATTCACGGTTAAACAAATAAAACCTGATTTATAGGAACAATGATTTTTCAGTTGATAATGACCATTTTTTTCTGTTCCGTTACTTCAAACTTGTGAATTTTACGTCGAAAACATTTTTCATTCTCTCTGTTCTTCAAAACACTTGTTTTTCTTTCTCTTATCGAATCGTATATAAAATGAGTTTCGTATTGACATAAGGTAAGGCTCCTAAAAGTGACAGAAATTTCATCGATTCTCATTTCGATGAAACTCAATGAGCGAGCCGGCATCGAAACCAAGTCCGTTCTATTACGCTTGTAGAGCAAATGACTTCGATTCGGTCGAACGATTACTACGAAAACATACATTGGAAGAACTCGATCGAATGGAACCCAATGACAGTACACCATTACATGTTGCATGTTTTCATAATTCAGTCGGTGTCGTTGTTTTATTACTACAACGTGGTTTCACACGGCGTATTTTGAATAAATATGATAAAACTCCATACGAAGAGATCAGCAATGAAAACAAACATTTGTTTCATCGAGATTTTTCAACGCATCGCTTTGGAGGAAGAATTTCTATCGAAGAAGAATTATCGATTTGGGTTCGACCAGACGTGAATCTAAAGAATATTCCAGCTGATTATCTTCAAGGTAATCGATTAAAATATGGCGCTTTGCATATAGATCGAATATGCACACAACTACGTCCTATGATCAATCTTGACGTTATTCGACGTTTTCTTCGTCAAGCTGTCGAAGAAAAAGATTGCATTCACTTAATCCAAGCGTATACAGCCGAAACAGACTTTTACAAACGTGTCAATCATTATCTTTTGTCAAGAAATGAAGATAATCCTCTATTAGAGTTCGTACAAACAATCTATTTCAATCGCGAATTACACGAAACATATTCGTACAAAGATTATTGTTATCGAAGTGTTTGTCTCAATGCTCTCGACGACCTTAACGTATTTAAAAAAGGAAGTAGAATTTCGAATCGAACATTTCTTTGCACGACGCAAGAACGAACAATTGCTGAAGAATATATTCGTAAATGTAACACCGCCGATCAACATGTTGTGATGATGATATTTCGAATTCGTCATTCTTATACCGCATTAGATGTTCAATATATTTCCGAATTTCCACATGAAAAAGAGATTTTAATTATGTTCGATAGCGTATTTGAAGTCACTGATATCATTCAAAACGACAATGCAAATTCTGAGATTCATCTGACAGAAATCAAACCTACCTATCGATTCATTAATAAATAGGATTGTATAAACAATGAAATTTATTTTCAATGACTAGTTTTGATATTTCTCATATTGAGGAAGTGTTTATGATTGTGAAATCGATTTGAATTCCGAGTTTGTTTTTGAGGAAATGCCTCACTTTCAGCAATCAAATGACCTTTTCATGTTAACATTTACGAACACTATATAAACCTTTCGATAGTTTGTGTAAACTAAGAACAAAACAACGGTGAAAATGAATGCTTTACGAGCATTTTTAGTTTTCCTACTGGGATGTTGTCTTTGTGGTGTGAAAGTAAATGCAAGTAAAATGGATCTTTGGGATTTTGGCAGGATGATTAGTCATAAAGGGTATTCTCGTTGGGATTATTATGGTTATGGATGTTGGTAGGTAATGAAAGACGTTTCTGAGAGTTTATTCTTCCGAATTTGAATAAATAAAAGTACAAAAGAATGTGTTTTTTTTTCATTAGGTGTGGACCGGGAGCGTATGGTAATGAATTTTTAGATTCAACCGATTATTGTTGCAAAACACATGATGAATGCTATGATAGTGTTCAGAATAGTAATTGTTCACCCTATTGGGCATCATATAAGTATGATAGATTATCAAATGGTCAATTGCAATGTACGGATGCACATGGAACATGCGGTCGTAAAGTTTGCGAATGCGATAAGGCAGCTGCTGATTGTTTTGAAGCTAATCGAGGAACATACAAGTCTTGGTTACGCGGACTGTCTAATGATGACAGACGCAGATTATGCAATCGAGCGTATATTCGCCAAGGCTATTGGTCGTAATGTCGTTATTCAAACGAACATATCCTTTTCGCATGTCTATTCGTAAAATCCTGATTTGCAAATCTAAAATAAATAACGAAAAGAATTTCGCGTGATTCTTATTTGAAGATTATGAAAAGTCTTTATTTTTCTATGAGAGATATTTTCATTGAAATAATTTGTCATTGACAACATAGTTCATTCCACTCTGCTTTAACAATTGTTCCCCATACTACAAAACATCTTGTATGTGGACATGGATTTGATGTCTTCAATATCGTTCGTAATGTATTGAAGAATACATACATTTGAATATCAATTTCAATAGATTTGGCATTGTTTTCGATGACGACATTTTTGGATTGGAATGATGTTAAGCTACCTGAATTCGACATTTTCTCTTCATTTTTTGAAGTCTGATAACGGACGAGAATACGAGCAACATAAGCACCTCGATTTTCTACACGAATTTCAATCGAATTGATAACGATCACTACAAAAAATATTGTGTAAAAATTGTTTTCGATTCATGTTTTAATCATACCATTGAGACAAAGCACTACGATCAGCAAGTAAAGAACACAATTATTGTCAATACAAGAAGACATTTTCAAATGAATCAAAACCAGATTTCATATGCTTTTATTGATTCGTCTTCGTATTTATCTGTTTTCTCGTTCCAACACCAAAAACAACAAATCGTTCGCCTCCATTAAACATCATTATATAGAAACAACATCGAATGCACATAAACACCCTCAATGACTTATATAGAAATATTTGTAGTTCTATTTTTAAGAACATACATCGGTGTTCTATTTCAACAAAACGAATGTGGGTAGAACCCGTGGAGAACTTGTAGCCGTGTGGATGCCAATAAGCTCACATGATTGAATACAAAACGTGGTCTAAGTAATTCGGATTTCTTAAAACACATATTTCCATGCTATTTTTGTTCACTTCGTATTGTTATTCTTTTTCTTTCTCCTCACCAGAAACAACAAATCTTTCGGCTCCATTAAATCTTTATCTTAATATCATTATACAGCAACAAAATTGAATGCAGATATACATTCTCAAGATGATTGATCGAACTATGAGAAAATCAAAACAAAAATTGCAGTTTATTCAGTTTGGGTTTACAACTGTTTCAATGTACTCTGTGAACATCAGAATGTCGTGCAATTATCCTTTTTACCTACCGGAATATCCGAGCTGAGTTCTCTAAAAAGAATGATTCTATAACACCTGCTGATATCAAATGGATTCTCCTAAAATTTACATGTATAAACCTTTTTACTATGTTGTTGATTGTTATGGATTGATATCGTTACTGAAAAGTTAAAGTAAAATGCAGAGAAAAAGATATTCACTGTGGTTAAATTTAAGAAAGTTTCAATGATGTTGGCATCGCGATTCTTCACGTCTATGTGATTAATTATTTTTCGCATCACCTACGAAAGAAAGGTTTTGAAGACAAGTTCAGGAAGTTTTCTTTCATCTCATTATTTTCTTCAACTCATTTCTCGTTATTTTCATTTGCGTATGGATGCAAAAAATGAAACTATTGCCACCCTTCTTCATGTTGCTATGTATCTAAATCGATCGATACCAATTCCATTATTAATTTTCGGAACAATTGGGAATATCTTAAATGTATTTATATTGACACGTCAATCCCTTCGAACGAATTCGTGTGCGTTCTATTTTCTTTCTTCAACACTTGCAAACATCCTTTGTTTATGGATTGGCCTTTTAACAAGATTACTTTCTGGTTATAATCTTGATCCAACCGCATGGAGCACCGTGGTGTGTCAAATCCGTTTCTATATCACATACATGTCACTGTCTTTGAGTGCTTGTTTTCTTGTCTACGCTAGTGTCGATCGATGGGCATCATCAAGTACAAATCCAAACATACGCTCTTTCAGTCGTATTCACAATGCTCGACGTATGGTGATGTATACAACGTTATTTGCTTGTGTATTTTATGGACAAACATTCTATTGTTATGTAGCTGTACCGAATCAATTTCCATTGAATTGTTATTGTCCAAATCAAGTCTGTCGAACATACAATGATGTTTTATTTCTTATTCTATTCTCTTTAATTCCTCCAATGTTCATGTTGAGCTTTGGTTATGTGACAATAAGAAATGTTCAAAAAATTCGGCAACAAGTCCGTCCATTACCCGCGAATCTTCAGGCCTCTCGTCAACAACATCGTTTATTGAAGAAAAAAGATCATCAGATGATTATGATGCTTTTAGTTCAAGTATTTTTCTTCGTTATTCTTGTAACACCATCGGGAATATCAAAGGCATATTCAACACTAACATTCAATCAATTGAAAGATTCGTTGGAATTAACCAAAGAAAACTTCTTCTTTCAAGTTTCTGTTCTCATTCTTTACATCAATTGTTGTTCTGCTTTCTATCTCTACACTCTCACTGGAAAAATCTTTCGACAAGAAGTTAAACGATTACTATTGAACATTCAACGACCAAATTTGGCAATAATTAGTGAAGTTAGAATCATTCCGCCAGATCCGATTTCAGCTGCTTATCATAGTCAAACCAATCAAATCACGATGAAATATAACCAACAAACATGATCGTTATATTGACCTTTGTTTCATTTCGATGTGCGGATCTTCTCTTCTCTATTTCCCCTGATTATTGAATCGCTGGCGTAAGAATATAGTTCGTTGTTTTATAGGAATAAAGTATCCATTAGATAACATTAATATTCCTATTCATATCCGAAAGGAAATGAATGTAGGTGTTTTCAAATTGATAATTGTAGATGTTCGTCTCGTATTTCTTCTCTCGTTTTGCTTCTCCGTTAAGTAATAATTGATGCGATCGGTGCAAAACGATCGACAAATAGAACGACGCAAAAGAATCCAAAAGATAAATAATGGTCAATTCCATCTTTCCAAATTCCATTTACTGGAAAATGTCTGGAGATTATCATCACCTTTATTGATGTGCTTCGCTTATTAATCCTTGAGCTTGAGAAGAATGTTTTTCGAAAATGGAGTTTTAGTCGTGCTGAGAAAGACGATGATTGTGTCATACAATAGAGAAAAGAGAGAGAGAGAGAGAAAGAGAGAGTGGGAGAGAGAGTGATTCCTTTTCTCTTGAAAAAATATGAGAGGGTATATAAATCGAACGGGTTCATCAATTCCAGATTGCTTCACATAGAAAAATCCAACAGGTTGTTTCTACCCAAATCATATTATGACTACTGCTACAATGTCGACAGTTCTTATTGCTTTCCTTATTGCTGCTCTCTGTCAATTAGGCACCATGGGTGACGAAGAAAAAGTAAGTGTTTGTTGATGATGAACACGAGATTTGCTCTGATATGTCGAAAATAATCTGTGATAAAGAAAAGTCACATTTGGATAATTGCTGTTATATTAAAAGGTTAAATTTATTTGCACGAGTCCTTGGACGGACATAAAACAATCGAATGTTGTAATTCAAGGTGTTTGAGAATGATTAATTGATGATTTTTTTAGAAGCGTACACTTGATTCATTATCTGGCTCGGATTTTTTCAAAAAAGTAAGTGTTAGTTAGGAAAGTGAATTGGTTTCGAAGGAATTTGGATGTTTTAGAGTCTTGACAGTCTGTCTGGCAATGATTTTTTCAAACGTGAAGATGAGGTAAGTCGAGAATTTCTTTTCTGAGAAGATTTCGAAGAAAATCTTTTAGAAACGAACACTCGATTCCCTCGCCGGCTCGGATTTCTTCAAAAAAGTAAATATTCATTGCAAGTTCATTTCTTTCTTTTTTCACAAAAAAATGCTTTGTTTAGAGTCTTGATTCGTTATCTGGCAATGATTTTTTCAAACGTGAAGAAGAAGTAAATAGTTATTCATACTTAATCCGATATATTCTTTCCAAATTGACTTTGAATTCTTAGAAACGAACATTAGATTCCTTATCCGGATCAGATTTCTTCAAGAAGGTTTGTTTCTATGTTGTTCGACTTCGATTAATTCTTCCTTCGCGTATCTTTAGAGCTTGGATTCCTTGTCTGGCAATGATTTCTTCAAGAAGGTAAGAATCTTTGCATGAAAAGACTTTTTTTTCATGATTTTGCGTTCTTCTAGAGCTTGGATTCATTAAGTGGAAATGATTTCTTCAAAAAGGTAGTTCATCAGTTAGATGTGTCTCTTTCATTGCTGACCTTTTGTTGCATTTAGAGCCTAGATTCATTGAACGGAAACGATTTTTTTAAAAAGGTAGAAGAAGACAATTTGAACGAATATGTTTTGAACATTCGTATGTTGTTTAGAGTTTGGATTCGTTGTCAGGCAATGATTTCTTCAAACGTGGTGTCCGCCCATTAGGAATGCTTCGTTATTCGGGACGACATATGCATCGTCATCATTCCAATGATCAAAATTAATCAAGCAGCAACGAAATAAACATCCAATTTTGTCGATACTCTGTGAAACAAAAAATTGAATAAAAACTCTTTTTTTTTGTTCTTCATTTGCGAATTTATCTTCATCAAATTCAATAAAGAAGAATATCATGAACAGAAAACATTCGAGACCAAACCAAAATCTCTCGATATGATTAGAAATACTTGAAAATGTCAGAGAAAATCAAATAGAAACATCTGCTATGTTCCATGATGATATAGAAACATGAGTCAATATTCCGAATTGCACTGAATAACACGGTTTGATCAATCTATATTTTAATTTCAGTGATCGAAAAGACTGCAAAGAATAGTTGGAATTGACCACAACGAGTGATGACGAAGAAGTAGGCGTATAATAAAAAAATTTTCATTATTAAGTTTATTTACTGAACCGTCGGGGAGGAAATGTAAATAAATATTTATGAAATTAATTATTCTATTAAATCTACCCACTAATATTTGTTTTTTTATGACAAATTTCAAAGTACATCATTGAAAGATTCGATTTATCAAACGTTCAATGGTTCTCGTGTTTCTCGTTCGCGATATTCATCAGCAATAGCACTAACGAACGTTCCTATTGACACCGGCAATGGTTGAATGTGTTCAAAAAAGAAAGCATTAATTTGGGCACCTAATATAAAAATAACAGCCGAATAGAACAGAAATATAAGTAAAATCACAACAAATCCAATTTGACCCGTGTAACTCGCCATGAAATTTTTCACGTAGATCGGAAAAACGATCATAAATAGTTGTAAACCAATGGCAGCAGCCAACGCACCGCACCAAGTTTCTTTAATCGTCATTTTCTTATTCGGTATAATGAAGTAAATGATTTCAAAGAGTATAAATGATAAGAATAAACTCGTTAACAAACCGAAAATATATACGACGAAGCGTCCACCGAAGTTAGGAATCATACCGAGAAGTAACGCGGGTAATTGTGAAGCAGTGACCATTGTTGGGATTAAAATCAGAAAAAGAAACAACATCGCGATTGCTAAAAGATACTTGCGAAGAAATTTTCGTTCTTCAACTCGATAGATAATCGTTAAACATCGATCCATCGCAACGAATAATCTCGAACTTCCAAGAATCGCAAATAACAAACCAAAACCAAAGATAAATCCAGCATCACGATGCAATTTTTGAAAAGCCATGTTTATAATTTGTCTTATACTATGTCTCGTCTCTACAGGGAACGAATCGATTATTTTCTTTTTGATATTATTCCTCAAATCTGGGTGATTATCAAGAACAAGACCAAGAATACCGAACAATGTGATCGCCATTGGTAAAAGTGCGAGTAGAATATTAAACGCCAACATTCCAGAGAAGACAAATGACCAGTCATGTTTGACTTTTTGAACGAATAATCGAAACGGTGTCGTTTCTTTTTTCGCATATTTAAATAACCGTGTATTGGTAACGATCGATTCCATAGTACAAAAAAATGGTATTGTCGTGTGGGAAAATTTGCCTTGTGTTTACATTTATATGATACTCGTTATGCGTTCTTTTCTTCTTGACCTTGACGAAAACGCGTTTAGCCAACGACATATTTTGTACGTCGTTCTACGTGTTATTTCGATTGTAAACAAGCCTTTTCTCATGGATATGTTTGCTGAGAAACGATCGATAAACAAGATTTTCATAAGGTGATCTTTGGACAATGTTATAAAACTTTGATCAATCTTTTTTATGATTTACTAGCCATTCTTATCTTTTACAATGTCCGATTTTGTGATATTTAAACGCGTAAATCATTCGAAAATAAGATTTTTTATGAAGGAAAATACTTCATCTCAAGTACAGCGATAAGAAAACTGTTCTTTGTATATAAAAGACTGATATCGAGACAAATTTTTCATAAACTCCTCGACGAGAATAAAGATAAAATGTTATCGACTTATTCGCTTGTCTTTGTTCTCTTTGTTGCATTGGTAAGACTGGAGATTTTTATTGAAAACAACCATCAGAACTCGCCTCTCTAGGTTATTGTCGATGGACAAACCTTTTCCAATTGTGGTGGGGCTTCGGACCAAATCAAACTAAAAAGTCTTGCTATTTCTCCATATCCAATCAAAGTACCTGGTCCTGCGACATTCACATTGGATGTTGATGTTAGCGAAAACATCGTCAATCCACTTCAGGTAATACGAAACATTTTTCCTTATCGACAAGTGACAACGTGGAGTTTTTAGACCAAATACGATTTAGTTGCTACAGCTTTGGGTTTTCCCGTGAAAATTAAATGTGAAAACTGTGTTGGCTCATGTACGTATGATGATTGGTGTAAGGCTTGTCCAACTTGTCCATGTCCAGTTAATGCTGTAAGAAGTTTCCTTGTTATCTGATTCGATTCAACGACGAATGACTTTATTTAGGGTAATCAAAAAATGGTCATTGCAATGAATTTCACCTCATCAATTCCTATTGGATCCAAGGCAACAGTTAAAGCTCAAATCGACTTCTTATCCGCAACAGGTCAAACTGGCTGCGTTTTAATGCCTAAAATCGAAGTTCGAAAATAAATCTGTCGACGACGATGAACACGAATATTTTTGTTCAAGTCTTTTAAATAAAAAAACAAACACACAGACATTTTATAAAACTCGTTGCAACATGACAGGGATAGTGATCGAATCCTATGTGATCGTTTCGAACGGCAGGCAGACGATCATTTGTTGTAATTTCTCACCCAGAAATCAGTTTATTTTAAAAGAAGTCTACTTGTTAAAAATCTAAAATATTTTCGTATTTAAAAATTCTCATGCCAGGTAGTATAACATATTAAAAACCCATCATGAGACAAGGGTTGAGTGTGATTGTACTCAATATACACTTCGACATTTTCGTGATTTCTCACCCCCCACTTTTCCATTACGGACATTCGCTTCGTTACAAACCATTCTGCGTAGTTTCAAACTACGAAGCAAGACCAGGTATACGATGTATCATCACAAACTTGGACGACTGTCGGATCTATGAGTGACTATCAGTATCGTATTCGAATGGTAATATTAAAGAAAAGATGGAAGAATAATGACAGTCAGTGGATATAATGATTTCGTTATAGTTGATACAGATGAGATATACAGTCCATTCAGACAAAAAAAATAATGTACAAACCATATACTCTATTTGACTGTTAAACTCCTTTAAGTTTTCAACTTCTAAATTTAAAATTTGTACATTCGAATCTTCAACTATGACATTTTCTTTTACTTTATAAAAAAAATTTCAATGATATTTGTATTGTCTAAACAGTTTCATGTGCTTCTTCAATCACATATTTATAACAATCTCAAACCCATAAAAAAAGCGAGGTATCGTCATCATTTCTCGTTTAATCAATTGATTTTCGAACCTTCTCGCATAATATTTCGCTCCCGTACACTCAATTTTGGAATATCATCGCATTCATCGGTTGACTAATGCGTCAAAGCAACATATTCAAAGAACGACAGTATTTTATCCATATAATTTATTAGAAATCATAAAGCGATTTAATTGCAGATTGTGTTAGACATATAATTAGAAAAATAGAATCAATGAACCATATAAATACACGAAAGAAATCAATTGATTACATGGATATGACATGAATGGTAATAACAAGAACAAGCAAAGCATGTGCAAAAACACGACAATACGTCACTGTTCTACTTTAAAGTTGAGAATTACATTCCGTGCACTGTTTTTTTTACACACACATACACACAAACACGAGTGATGACTATGTCATTGTCAGTATTTTGGGCTCTCGCCAGTTAGTGAAGGTGGCGTGGCTGCTGTTGTTGTCGACGAACGAAATAATTGTTTTCGTCGCTTTTCTGTCAGAGTCGGAGTGTTTCTTTCGGAATTTATTGTCATGTTTGAGAGAATTTTATTTGAATTGGTTATATCGGATTTATCGAATTGTTCAGCCAGAATCTTTTCGTAATCAACTCCACTATCTGATGCAACAGTTAATGCTAATGATGATGTTCGCTGACGTGTCTGTTCTTCGGCTATGCTACCGGTCGCATTGACTGGATCAACATTGTCAACCTTCTCTAATTCTTGTGCTAAGAGATCAACTTTCTTACCGCTGGAATCCAATAGCGATGCATTATCGTTCGGTGTTTGTTTCCTTTCGAAATATGTCGCACGAACAGCAGCTAGCCAATGAACACGACGTATACGTAAGATTTGTACAGTTTCACTAACACGCAAACTGAAATCAGGAGTAAACGGACGAAATTTGTTCGATTTTGAACGAATGAGATCATCAATTTTCTCATCGGGGCTCTAAAGAACAACATAAGGTGATTTTTACCAAGAAAAACTTCGTTATTGGACTCTTACGTATAATGCACTAGCACCAAAATAGTAAAACGATCCAATTTCACTGACAATTTTTTCTTTTCCCGTTTCTAACTCTGCATTTCCATTGACGATCAAAACGAAATAATCCACTGCTTTACCATATTCATATATATACGTAGTTTTTCCCGATTTTGCTTCGTCTTCATTGAATTCGTATTCTTTGTACAAATCAGCATTTAGTAGAAGACTTAATATATTCGGTGAAATGTATTTTTCTTTGAATGGTTCGACACCTAGATTGTCGAATAAGAGACATATGAGACAATGTAAAATAAGGATGGGTTTACTTGTGGAAAGAAATTGAAAAATAGCGACTTTCATTTGCGCGGATATTTTACTTATCGCTTCATTGGAGTTATGACCAATAAAAACAGAGAAATCTTGCGCTTGAGAAAGAACATTCCGAACTTTTCGACGATTATCAGCTAAAGAATAAGCAATCGGAAGTCAATTCATCAACGAGTCATCGGGCATCACTGAACTTACTGAATACATCTGTTTCATCAACAATTTCTTCCTGAATCATTTCTTCAATAATATCTTCTAATGTAACAATTCCAATCGCTTTGGCACGAGGATCTTTTTCACTCGTATTGTCATACTCGACAACCACACCCAAATGATATTGTTCTAAAAGTACAAAATACAAACGTTTTCCATAACAATTCTTTTTCGTATTGGTAAACCTTTTTTGAATAGATTAAACACATCATAACTGGAATCATCTGGAGTGATCGATGTTCCATAACGATGTTTGCAGAAATTCATGATGTTTCGTACAGTAAATTTTCCTGAATCAGTATCGGGCAAAGCAAAATCACGGGCATAAACCAAGCCGATGATGTTATTTCTAAACAACAGGAAGATTTCAATCGAAAACAATTTCTTCTGTAATATTCAACTGACTTTTGTCCTTCATAAACAGGAATTCTCGAATAACCATAACCATAAACATTGAGAACGAGTTCATCGTCAACAATTCGATTTGCTTCAAGCATGAAAACATCCTCTAAATTCGTCATAACACCGCGAATCTTTTTTGCTTTCAAACTCAATACACCGGTCATCATAATCTTTTCTCGATCTTCGATATCGGTCGTTGTCGTATGCTTTAACAAAGCGCCCATTTGATCTCGCGTATAACGCGCACCGACTTCTTCTCCTGAAAAAAATATTTCATTGTTTTTCAATTGACACGAATTCATTTCATACCTAGAATAGTGTCGAGCAGTTTACTCAATGGATAGGAAATCGGAAATGTTAAAAGCATGAATAATTTTGTTAAAAGAACGGTTTGGGAGCCAACTTTTAAACCGTGTCTTGAACATATAGCTTGAGGCATAATTTCACCAAAAATAACAATAGCTAAAGTGGCACAAGCAACAGCCATTGCCCCACTGATCAACGAATCGAGGAGAATTGTTGTAGTAGAATTAACCAAAACGTTTCCTAGCAGAATCGTACACAGAAGAAAATTGCCATGTTTACGAACTGGATAAATCCGTTTGGCATATTTCTGATCATTGGCTGTTCCAGCTTCTTGGATCACTTTCAAATCATGTGGAGTTAATGACATCAAACCAAGATTTAAACCCGAAAATAATCCCGATAAAATCAGGAGACATATGAGAAAAAGTATTGTTGCCCAAACAGGTAAGGCGCGACGAGTTACACGAAGTTTCAATAAAGGTCTACGAGTAAAAACAAACTTCATTGAACGAAAACTCTTCAAATAACTTACGTGTTTCCTTGATGAAATGCTCTGTTCGAGTCGGGTGGGGTGACACACAGATATAATGTTGAATTGTAGAAGGGTAAATGAAGGGTTATATAAGCAAGTTCACCTATATGTGAATTGGGATTGGACTCATTAACTTGTAATCGATAAATTCGATCTTTACGCTCCCAGATACACGATTCCGCATGAGTAGTGAACGATAAAAGCGAATTGTTAAGATTCTCACCTAGAATTTTAATAGAAAAAGGCAAAATCAATTCGATTACCATGAAGTCAATCGACAAATGCCCTGGAGGTTTTCTTTTTCGGAAAAAAATAATTAGCAATGCTGAACGACATGTTTTTCTCTCACGGACAGGGAACAAATCACTCTTTCAACATACCATAAATCGCAAATCTTGTATCTGATTCTCGTTGAATTTCCCATTCTTGATTATTTTGACCATTGAATGACTTTTCGCCTTCACCTACTGGATACATTGCTCGTATGAATGTCGTGGAGATATCCAACGGAACAGATTTTTTCTCAATTGTTTGTCGTAAAACCTAAACGGAAAAAAGAAGTTTATTTGAGAAAAAGAAACATTGGATAATCTTACGTTTTGTTCATTTTGTGGAATAATAGCAAATGTTTGAATAGAAATGACCATCAAAGAGAGGAGAAGAAAGCGGAATATGAACATTTTATGCCAAAACACGCAGAAACCAGTGAGTTCTTTTTTTTTATCACACAAAATGCGACTGAATTCAATCAATCAACTGAATTCAATTATTGGAAAGAATGAAAAGAACACACAGCAAATGAATTAACCTAATTTATACGAAAACAGGAAAGAACGAATGCGTAGAAGGTGATTTATCAAGAGCAAAACGTTAAAAAACATTAGTCATTTCATTGATTCGTCTAGACGAACAATCCATTACGTTAAATAACCAAGAATGCCAATTATGAACAAGTCCAATGGAGAACATCATTTGTTAATAAGTCAATATACTTCGAGAATAACAATTCGATCGCCTTTTTAAATATGCAAGCTGAATAATCTTAAAGAAAACGAAGAAAGAGAGAAAAGTTTTCTGCTGACGTCTTGATCGACATTTTCTCGGCTAAGAAATTTCTTATTCTTCTTCGCATTTAACTAATTCTCGATAAAAGTCTCTAAAAATCCAGAGCGAACAGTAGTGGAAACCACATGCTCTTTCGCGTAATCTGTTCTTATACAAGAGTAACCTTTGACGATTACATGAGATAAAAAAAGAGTAATGTACCAAAACAAAAGAATCCTATGGTCAATTATCTATTCAACTCAAGCATGTTTTGTAAATGAATCAGTCAAATATCACGTCATCTGGCGCTCTCTTAGAATTATGTCGAGAGAACGGAAAGCAAATGATCGAATACGAGTTTTCAATGTGTTGGGAAAATCATTCCAGGTATTTTGATCGTTTTTAAAAAAATAAGTTGTCTTTGTTGTCATGTTGAGAGAAGATTCGCGTCGATGATCTTATTCGATATCCGAAAACGCTCTTAGCAGACGAAACTCGTCTTGAATCATACTGGCGATCGTGTCTGAGTGCGTATTTTTTCTCGCGTGATCTGCAGATATTCGAGCGAATTATCATACCGTTTTATTCTTCATCGAAATCAATCAATCAAATCAAACATCTGTTACCATTCGCCTTTTCCGAAGAGTATTTCCGTAAAGAATTAGAATTCTACGGCCTTCTCGAATATTATCAAGTATGTTTTTTAAACAAAGTTTCGTCAGTACAGAAGATCATGTCATTTTAGACAAACGATATAACTCAAATTCTATTAACTGAACATACAGATTCTTTATCTTATCTATTGACTGGAAAATGTCTTTGCCAGTGTATAGTTAACTGTGTATCTTGTATGTCATGTGCGATGGGCGTCAGTGAAATGATTTCCAATCGATGTCATCATCCTCGTTTGATCAACTTATTGATTGGAGATGTTGTCCTTAGTTTAATCCTACTATGGACGCTCTTCTATGAACAGTACTCAGATAAAATCTTACTCAAAATCAGATTGGAGGCGTACAAAAGTAGTCAGGTGAAGAGTACACGTGACAAATTAATTGTACTCAGTTCGTGTCGAAGTTTCACTTTTATCATACAACTGATTTTCGCTTCGTTGTCATTCATCATAACTTTGTTGTCATATGAACGAAAAAGTATGTGTACAGAAATAGATTTTTTCAACAAGAATTCAAGAAATTCTTCAAGACACATGGTATTTCATTATCGGATTAGCATTTCGTCATTTACTTCTCATCCGTCTGTGTCTACCAGATTTATGTCATTCTATTGATATTCTGTATCACAACGGACGTGCATCCTTTCGTGTTTTATCAAATTTCTTTCTTTTTTTCTTAACTATTTTCTTCATCTGTATTTGGATTGGATTTACAATTTACATAACCGATTCAAGTGTTACGCACTCAGCTCAATTGACCCCATCACGTTATGCTTACTTTGTTTACCATATTATCTTAAACGTTGGTTATGGAGATACAGCGGAAAAGTCGGTTCTGTCGTTTGTGATTCTTATTCTAATGACATTAATTGCGTGTCCGCTGTTGATTATTATCTATCAAAATTTCATTCAAGAATTGAATGTTATCACCAGCAGATCAAGTCATGTTGAAACATTTCACCATACATCGTATGTAAACCATTTGATTAGACACGTGAATAGACATCGGATGTAATGACGAAACGAGAGACTGTTTTCCAACTGTTTGCGTCATTTGTGAACGATGTTGAAATCAGTCAAAATGTGGTCAATTAAGCTATACTGACGTATGTGAAAAATAATTTTCTTTGAAGAGAAAATAGTTGTGAATAAATTGAATTTAATGGAAGGAGAAAACCTTCAGAATCATANCGGCTAAGAAATTTCTTATTCTTCTTCGCATTTAACTAATTCTCGATAAAAGTCTCTAAAAATCCAGAGCGAACAGTAGTGGAAACCACATGCTCTTTCGCGTAATCTGTTCTTATACAAGAGTAACCTTTGACGATTACATGAGATAAAAAAAGAGTAATGTACCAAAACAAAAGAATCCTATGGTCAATTATCTATTCAACTCAAGCATGTTTTGTAAAATTAGACAAAATGAGGTTAATTAAACTATACCGACGCATGTGAAAAAATGATTTTCTTTAGAGAGAAAATTGTTGTGTATAAATTAAATTTAATTGAAGAAGAAAACCTTCAGAATCATAACTGTCATCTTCTATTCGAACTTCTGAAAAACTCTCGAATTAAAAATGAGAATAGAAAGAAGCAATTAAATATTAAATACTCGGATCGGTTCCCTTTTCTTCTACGAATGAACATATTTATTACGGAAAGAGAATTTATTTTTCAGACTTAGTCACTGGAGAAAAGATTGTTTTGATGGAACCATTCGATAGGGGTCACTGTTGTTTATTTTTCTAATCGAGGTTATTGTGACTGCATTCATGGTATCTTATGAACCAATCGTCTACGATTGACAACGTTTTATACATCGACTCGACTCTCGATTTTCTCTTCACTTCTTTTTTATACAGTCAAACCGATGTTACGGTTCTTGATTTTGTTTTTTATCTGTTTTTCTTACGGCAAGACTCAACATAATTCCGATGTGATCGGTTGTGGTGGTTTTATCAAATCTGAAACGGATATAAATTACAAAGTTGTCCGAGTAAATACGTTGCCGAAATCAAAGTTCATCTCCTTTTACTTCGGTTATGTTTAGGTGCAACTGATTACCAAAGATGGCATTCCAATTTACACAACAGAGGCTGCACCAATCAATGGATAGTGAGTAGTTCGTGGATGATCAACTGTCAATGTTCTTATCTCTTATGATTTAGTTATATGATCCCGGTGTATGAACGTGGAGAATATATTCTTAAACTTCTTCCTCCGTCAGGATGGAGTTTTGAACCGTCGCAAATTGAGTTGAATATCGACGGAGAAACAGACCCGTGCACACAAAATCATGATTTGAACTTTGTGTTTAAAGGTTTCGGTTTAGCTGGACGCGTATGTGATTTACTTTGGCAAAACATTGCAAATCGAATATGTTCTATTCCTTTGAAGGTCATCAGTGCAGGTAGTGCGAGTAATATGGGTGGTGGACCAGCTGGTGTGACTTTGACCTTATATCAAGATAATAAGAAATTGAATGAAACAAAATCGAAAGCTGATGGAACGTAAGTTTTATGCTCTTGGTAGATTTATTATATGTTCCTGTTTAGTTTTGAATTCTTTGATGTTTTACCTGGTCAATATACGGTCAAAGGTGATCATGATCATTGGAAATTTTTAACGGTAAATGAAGCATTCGTAGAGATAGAATGAACGCTGTGTCGTTTCCGTCCCCCCCCCCCCCCCCTCCGCGCCCTCCGCGCCGGCCT